AACTCTTAACTCGATCCCGAAGACATGATGCAAGTATTGAGGGAACAGTGCAGACTATTTATGAGAAATACAAGGTAATAAGAGGATATTAATTAGCAATATTGCTATACACCAAACGTATTTTAAAACAAAGAAGAGACCAAAGAAAATTCAAACATACTTTGTAAAAGTTCATAAAATCATGGGATCAAGACATCATAAAACAATTCTGTAACAATAAAGAATCATCCCTCAGGTTTATCAACCTGAACTATTCCAATCCAAATAGAAAGGTGAGGCATTTTTTTAGAGAATTGGAATATTGTATAATTTATAAGAAAGATTCTGTAAAATTACCCAAGGATGCTACATCTGTGTACTTGTCACTGAATGCATAAACATTTGCTGATATTTGGTACTTGGAAAACTCAGCAGCCATTTGTTTATAGAATGGATCTTCAGGCAGTCTCAGTCCATGTTCTTTGTCTGTCCCGTAAACACGAGAATCATCTCCACGTAACTTCAAGCGGCCAATACCAAGAGATGGGAGGGAGTTTTGAAATATTAACAATTTCCCTCCAAGTTGACTCTGCATAGAGAAGTATGAAAAACCGTATAAGAATAGTGACATTGTTAAATGCATATGAAAAATTGTACAGAAAATTCAATAAATTCTCAATGGACTGCGTTTCTTAAATTTAGCTAACTAAAGGGACCACCATTCCACATGGAATGTAAATTGTTTGTCTATGGTTCATTTGATTTACTAAGCAACCTTCTGATAGTTTAGTGTGCCCACCAATTCTTGAAATAGGAATTAAGGAAGGAATTAAATTACAAAATTTGCCACATTTGGGTGGTCTGCACTTGATTGTTTTAACATAATGATCAATTATAAAGTGTGTACCAAATAACAAACGCTTCGTCACACTGAGTTCTTTTTTTTTTTTTTTATGGATCACACCACCATGTCACTCGCCTTAAGTATGTATCAAATACAAAATAAATAAATGACATAACTTGGAGAAACTTAATACAGACTCAAAAATTGGAACTTCATAATTGACACAAAAAAAAAAACTTATACAAGTATCACAATCCTATAAATTAGAACTTCCAATTCCAAATATCACGACTGATTTGTGTATTTGTCCCTGAAAGTAGATTAAGAACTCCATACTAGAGGCCCAAGGAAATTGTGAAATACCAAGCACAGGTCTTATCCAATCCCTACCACAATTCTTCATAGATATTATCTGGGAGCCAAAGATCTACATTAACGTTAGTTCAAAAACTTAAAGTACATACCATTATTTCTTCTGGTTACTTTTGAAGCTTTTTCTTTTAAGTAAAATAGGCTTGCATTGGAAACATTGGATGTCTCCTATCCTCTCATTTTTTATATTGAAAATTAATGCCTTAAACTTCATGTAGTTATATGTAACTTTGTGTCAACTAATTCCAAAAATTTGCTATCCAATGTATTAAATTCATTATCTATTTAAAAAAAAAAAAAAAAAACTAGCAACAGCTATTATGGTATGAAAAATCACCATTGAAGGTTGAAAAGGGACAACATACCATAACCATGAATGCAGCCTTAAGAGCAGGACCAAAAGCTGATTCCAAGTTAACATTGTCCTGGAACATGGTTGGTAAACAATCTAGGAAGCTTTCTACAACACTTCTTGATTCAGACAAATTAACAAGAAGATCATCTGGCAGCGGAATAAATATATCATCCAGATCTGACACTACCAACATCTGGGGTTGAGTCAGGGAAGACTGCAAGAGCATGAAACACAATAATTAGCATCAATTGAGGAAAGGTCAGAGATATATTAACTAAAGTAATATAAACAATATACCAACCTTCATGTTATAAAAATGTATTGTGCTGTCAAAAGTTGCAAACCCTATTTGCGTCCGTGGAAAGCCAGGTAGCTCATCTAAGCATGACTTAATTGTATTGGCCACAACCTGCAGTTAGGACTGTTACATCAGGACTGAAAATAAAGTGCACTAAAACACCTCAAAAATAGTTGGAAATTGGGACCAATTAACCTCAAACACAAAATGCATCTTACAACCCAAAGTTGCCCAGGTAAATGTTTGTGAAGAAGTAAATGAATTAATGTTAATTCTAGGCAAATTTCATTTTCAACACTTGCAATTTATGTATAATATAGGACAATTTAGTGGTCACAATGTCCAAAAGAAACTCATTTCCGTGAAATTCACTTTGGTAAATATTCCCAAATAACACTGAATCTTCTAAAAAGAAATTCTTTCAAAATTCATTATATACAAAAAGTAATCCAACCCTCATGCACAAATTACTCATGCATGCTCATAATGCGTTATATGTGAATGCTATAACATCCAACCCTCAAATATACATAAGAAATAAACTAAAACAATTATTGTGTATTTCAGCAGTCAATAATTACTTGAAGGAAATAGAATTGAGCAATCATCTAACACATGATGCATAAATTTTAGTGAAAATGAAAACCATATTAATAAGTTTGCTGGTGAACAGATAATCTTCTTGCCTAAAGAAACTAATGTAAAGCAACATACATTATAGGATAACTATTTTCTTCTTCGTAACTGCAATCAAAATTATATGCATCTAGTACTAATCCTGACTCATTTAACATACAAAAATAAGGCCATATATTACCCAACAGTACACTTTATTATTTTTTTCATAAAAATAAATAAACCAATGTAAACTCTATCAAAGGGCAGTACAAGTGAACATTGTGCTAGAAGTCAAGTACTTACCTCAATCATCCCACTTCTAACTGCAGATATGGAAACATCGATGAGGAAGAAATACACTGGTGGCATAGGAGGCCGCACCATATACTCAGCAGGAGCAACAAATTCTACAGTCCCCTTTGTAAGCTCAGGTCGTTGATTTATATCAACTCTTTTTCCAGTTGCATCTAATTGTGCAAAATACTCGGTAGGAACTGTACATAACACTCAATATATTAACATCATTATAAATATATTAACATCATTACAAATATATTATTCAAACAATCACAGTATGCATGATATTGTATATTTGACAAGAACTAGAAATTTTCTTTACAGAAATTTGTAATCATGCAAGCAGGTTACCTGTATATCATACCATAGTTATGGTGCATTTATCATGATAGTAATAAACACACAGCACAACTGACATGAATGCGTAGTATAAGAAAAACCTGAGAGCAAATTTAGTCTCCCGTGATCCTGAAACCTTACTTCAACTTTACAAAGGTAAGCAAGTGAAGTATGTGCATTCTATCATGAAAGGAACCTATGGGCACATCCAATATAATGCAAGTGCTACTGATAGAGATTAATGAATTTTCAGAGCAACCAAGAAAGCCTTTTCTCATGATAAAAGTGTGCAGGCCTAAGTAGTTGAGTTGAGACTAAATTCCAGCTATTTTCTTATTTTGACATTTTATTTTTTTTAAAGTAAAGGATGAGGTTATGAAAGTAAAAAGTACCATCATTAAGCAAGGTACAGACATTGCAGCGAAACTTTCTTCCTGCTTCTGTAAATGTCATATAAGGGTTCACGTATGTGCGACATCTTCTGCAGCGAACAACACTAGCTGGGGCAAAATTAACTATGGGAACCTCTTCCTGAAAACAAAGAACAATGAATAGTTGAAAATAACATGACCAGTATGTTTCTGCTCATCAAACAGCGTAAAGAAGCACTAACCCCATCAGCAGGTTCAGCAAGCGGACATACAACTGCACCAAGAGGAAGGTGCCACCTTGAAGCCAAGGACTGGGAGCTAGGTACGGCACTGGTTGTGAGTCGTAGGAAGCCGGGATTGCAGTTCATGGGATACATGTCAACCAAATTCTTTGGCTCAACGTCTCCTTCCAATGGCCTTGGAAGTTCTTTGGCGTCAAATAATGGATCCATTGTTCCAGGACGAGTTTGCATTGTGAGGGCATTAAAGTCTTCTGCCAAGCCCTGAACGGTACCCATCGAGGGTGCAGATCCTGGCTGCTGCATTGGCTGTAGACCTAGCGTAGGAGCCACTGGGGGTGAAGGGGCATAACCTCCTTGATGAGACAAAAAAGGAGAAGCTCCAACAGGCGGAACAGGCCCAAAATTTCCTTGATTAGTAGGGAAAGAGGAATGAATAGGTGGACCTTGCATTTCAGGGCCAGTCTGCTTACTCGGGTACCCAGGAAATGATGGCTGAAATGTAGGTGGAGGAACATTTGAACCTAAATGCGCAGGAACAGCACTTTGAGGTGGGGGAGAGCCCATTGGAACAAAAGGCATCGGTGGCTGAGCTGGAAGAGACGTGGTAAAAGGCGGTGCTTGACTAGGTGAAGATTTAATTGATGGTTGTCCCATAGGCGGCGGAGGAGCACGTGTCTGCATTGTCGGGGGAAAGGGCGGTGGCGGAAACTGCTGAAAAGGTCCAGCAGCCGGCGGGGCATTGGATGATTGAGGAGGAAGAGGCACTGATGGATCATTGAACCTCGCCGGTGGTGCAGGTCTAAAACTGGGTCCCCCTGGTCTAACTGCAGCAGGTCCGGGTGAGGAAAATGGCGTGGCAGCTTGCGGCGGAGGACCAGGCCGCAGAGAAGGAGGCTCTGATCCAGAAACGGGACCGGTTGATGAAAAAGGTGACACTGTCTGAGCAGCAGCAAAAGGCGGTGGAGAAGGCCTTGAAGGGAAGGTTGGACGACCAGGATTTTCAGTCCCCATGGGTTAATACAAAACAATCCAAATCACTTCGCTCTTATTCAATCAAAACTTAAAACCTCTGTTCCATCACCAAGCCTGTGATAAGAAAGCAATTCGATGCACGCAACGTTTAATACGTAAAAAGTAACCAAACACAACACAGTTCAAATCAACAAAAATTATAAGAGAACAGGAAGCAGTTAGATTAACTTTGGCACGGGCAGCTAGTGTTGAATATATTGAAAATAGCACGAGTAGTAACATAAACGAGAATTAAGCCTAACATACGATTAGTTTAACTCAGAATTGAGGGATACGTCAACATAAGTGTTAGGGTTGTGAGAGGAATAGTTCGGTGACGTGGATTTGAGTGAAGGAGCTTTCGCGATTGTGACAGATCGAGAAAAAGAGGGGAGGAGGGAAGAAGAGGCAGTTGAATTGAAAACGAGATCGAGAGAGAGTGACTCACCGAGTTGCCGATTCGGATCGGAGACGCAGAGGCTGATCCGCACCCCACGATGAAGAAGTGCTGTGTTGAACTAAACGGAGGTGAGGACCCTCTTCTTGTGTTCAGATAGAAGAAGCGTGGTGAGAGCACCTTCCCTGCAAGCACTGGCACTACGTTGAATTTCACCGTTCTTTCCTTCTCTCTTTTTCTCCTCTTCGGTTGATCGGCACGGCTCCTCGGTACCGAAACATGTGTGGCTATCATATGGGCTCGTGACCCAACTTTTGAACTGGACTAGATTAGAGGCCCATTTTTGTGGTTGCACCTTAGAGAGTCAGTCATGGACTGCATATGCATTCTAATTATTTTGGAATTATTTTTGACAACAATATTCCTAATGTTTGAGGTCGTTTTAGCTATTCAAATTCAGAATTAATTTTTCAGTCATCTAAATTTATAATTTATTTTTTAATTCATATAATTTAATGTTAACCATATACTATTTAGTAAACTTTTCTCAGCATGTATACTTTTTATTAGTGAAAGTGATTAAAATCACAAATGTATATATATTATTGCTTATTTAATGAAATTCACAGATGATTTCTTTAATAAGATTTAATTAATAATAAAATATGAATTATAAGATAAATATTTTTGTTGTGTAGTGCACCAGAATTATCAATATACACCATTGAACACAAAAGATGCATTAAGTATTATCAAAATTAAATGCTTAATTATAGTGATATCGGGATGGTAATTAAACTCATGTCCGTGAGACCGACCCATATCGTCTCGAGTTTGATGGAGAAAATCGAGTTGACTGAGGGTGGAGGCGGGGATGGGGATAGGTAATGCAATCTCCATCCCGATCCCGTTTCGTCCTCACTCCGACTTTATATTTAAATTTAAATTTTAAAATATTAATATTTTAAAAGTTTTTTTTCTATTATATATAAGGTCATTTTTTATATTTTACCATTTTTATTTTTCTTCTAACCACTTTTTAAATTTTTTAATCTTTTATATTAATTAATTTATTACATTATTCTATCTTATCTTTATATTTTTCACATTTTCTTAATCTCTCCTATCAATTTTTTTTTAATCTTTTCAACCAATTTGATGAACACAAAATTAATTTTTTTCTTCTTTATCTTTTTCTAAATATTTTACATAAATATTAGTAATAACTAATATTATTTTATTTATAATTTATATTTATTAGGTTTTATTATGTCATAATTTTTTATCTTATTTATCATATATCAAATTTTATCTTAATAAAATAATTATATTTTAAAATATTAAAAGGAAGTGGTAATTTAAACTTTTATTATTTCGAACTAATTAAATAAGAATTAACTTATTAAATATTTTTTTATAAATTATATATTTTATATTTTTAAAATGACAACTTAAAAATAATTAACTTATATATATGCAATCAAATATTTAAATATAATATAATAATAATAATAATAATATTATAAGAATTCAAATATTTAAATATAGTATTATAATAATAATAATAATAATAATAAAATTATAAATATTATATATATAAAAAATAATTAAATATTTATTTTATATATATATATATATTTTTAATATAAATATAATAAATTAAAATATATATTTAATTAATAATTATTATAAATTATAAAATTATAAATATTTATTTATATAAAAAATATATAATAAAAATAATTTATTATAAATATAATTATTTTTAAAAAAATAATATAAATTGAGTACAACACTAAAACGGTGAATCAAGAAATACAAAAATGAAAACTTAATTCCTAAATAATAGATTACAAGAGCGAACACGGAAATGATTAAAATAAATCAGGAAGAGGCAACACCTACCCATCCCGCCCCGTTGGCATGACAACATATCTAAATTATATCTAAATTAAACACTTGACCTAATTTTACTTAATTAAGAAAATAACTGTGCCGCCACCTACCACAAATTATGATAATCTGTTTGAGTTCAATTGCCGCCAATGTCGAGTGTATAGCGAAAATGCCAAAATAGAGACGAATTGACGACATCATCATCCTCATCCTTATCTTACACTAAACTGTATTATTAGTATTATAAAAACAATAATTGATATAAAATTTAATAATTATGATTAAAAATATTTTAAAATATATAATTAATTTTTTAATTTTAAAATTGATAATGGTGGAAGAGAGGAGAGTTCCTTAAATAATAATAAATATTTTATTTGTATAAATAAACATTTTATTATAAAATTATTAAAAACTAGTCCGCGTAAATAACTTTTTTTTCTTCTAAATTTTAAATAATTTTCTTGAATTTTAATCAAGTCACAGTCTATAATAAAATATTATTATTGCCTTCAGAAATGCTCGTCTTTATCGATCACCCGCTCCCTCTTTCCTTCTTTACCACAGTACAAGAGAACACTGCAGAGAGCACCTATCTGTATTCCTCATCTGCATTGAAGATCGTAAAATGGCGAGGAAGAAGATCAGAGAGTACCATTCGAAGAGGCTTCTCAAGGACCACCTCAAACGTCTCGCCTCGATTGACCTCGATATCCTTTCTGCTCAGGTTTTCATAATTTACGTGCTGTCTCCTCAATTTTTCAATCAATCACCTATTTGAGAGGTCTTTCCGGACTTCGATTTTCGCAGGTCATACAGTCAACGAACTTTGCTGACTTGACAGGCCAGCATCCGTGGTTGTCGTCAACCAAGTTGGTCGTGAAACCGGACATGCTCTTTGGGAAGCGCGGAAAGAGTGGTTTAGTGGCTCTCAATTTGGACATAGCTGAAGTCGCTGAGTTCGTTAAAGCACGCCTCGGCGTTGAGGTGATTCCTCAAAATGAAATATCTTCATGGGTGTGCTTTTTTCATTTCAACGTTTTTGTTTGATTGTACTTTTCTCCCCGGTTACATTCGTTTCACTTGTTTAGCTTTGTTCCTCAGTTTTTTTTTCACCAATTTGATTCTCCTGCTATTTTAATTATACAATTCCGCTTCTATCAACCTGACATTCAATATTATTTAATGGAAATGCTAAGCTGACATTCTGTTACACTGTCACGTCTGAATTTCTGTTACATATGGGATTTAATCTGTAGGAATCGATTTTTTTATAAGAGAAAAATAGCGGAATTAAATTTGCAAAATGATGGATACAGGAAGGCAAAATTGCTATTAGTTTCAACATTTCATCTTCCTTGCCTGAACATTTTATTGGATTGGACGTTTGGTAGGTTGAGATGGGAGGTTGCAAGGCGCCTATAACTACTTTCATTGTTGAACCGTTTGTTCCTCATGACCAAGAATATTATTTGTCCATTGTTTCTGAAAGGCTTGGTTCCACCATCAGCTTCTCCGAATGTGGGGGCATCGATATTGAAGAGAATTGGGATAAGGTGTTATTGAATTATGGTTAAATTAAATTGAATTAGTGTTGCTGTTTTATTTTTTGTGCCTTGTATGATGCCGTGTTTATGCTTCCTTTCTGGAAATGAAGCCCTGATAAGAAGGGATGGTTGACTGTTAATGATCAGGTTAAAACTATTTTCCTTCCAACAGAAAAACAGATGACTCCGGAAGCATGTGCACCCTTGATTGCTACACTTCCTTTGGAGGTCAGTATTTTGGCACTTCCCTTATGTCTATCAGTTTCTTGCATTTCTGCTTGGCAACTAGTTACATGTTGAGCATTTCAAATAATTAATATAGTCTCCAAAATTGCTCTCACGTTAACTATATAATTTAGATTTTGCATCCGGTGAAAAAGCGATCCATATGTTACGGCATGATTTGGATGTGTTTATCCCGTTTGGTTCTAACCTTTGCACTGTCTTCATTAAGATTTCTAAGTGTTTGAACTTCTATTTCATTATGATAATCCTTGTCTATATTCTGTATTTGTTTATTTCTAGTAGATTTATTTTTCTTGTTTGTGCATTAACAAATGCTTATTCTAATTTACAGATTCGGGGGACAATAGGTGATTTCATACTGGGTGTGTTTGCTGTCTTCCAAGGTATGCAATGAACAAGCTCGAAAACTTCTGGATCATCTCATTGTTTTGGAACCTAAAGCATAATATGAACTCTGGAATGTAGAATTAGAAAATACTTTAGAACTTTAACATGTGCTTTTAAGTCGTTTTTCTTAACTCACTAACTTGCGCATGCCTAGTTGAAGAGAATAATGAATATTGTTTGCTCTATTTCAGTTATATAAAATATGGGGAAATTCTAATTGCTCCATTTTAGGCAAAATAGGATTCATTTGTGTATTACTTCTCTCACTAAAAATGCTAACTGTCATGGCTATTCTTAAATACACAATTTTTTAGTCTAATCTTTATTTTTTAACTCCCATTTTGTCCATAGATCTGGACTTCAGTTTTCTTGAAATGAATCCATTTACATTGGTGAATGAAAAGCCATATCCACTGGATATGAGAGGGGAATTGGATGACACTGCTGCATTCAAGAACTTCAACAAGTATAATCCTTTGATATTTTGTTAAGCATTAAATATTTTAATTTTCAAGTCATGGAAATTTAGCATCTAATGCACATGACTAGTTGTTATCCAATCTATATATCTTAATGCTTTCAGGTGGGGCAATATAGGGTTTCCATTGCCTTTTGGAAGAGTTCTGAGCCCTACAGAAAGCTTCATTCATTCATTGGATGATAAGGTATTTTTTATTTTTGTGTAAAATTTCTCTGCCGTTGTTATATAAATAACTATTTTGGTATGCTCATATAATGTGCTGAAAACAAGCTTTTTTCAACTTCTTTTTGCCCGTTTATTTAATATGTTCTTTAGTTGCCATACTTTTGCTAAGGTGGATTTTGGACTGTGTTGCAGCCCGTATATTTACTGTTGAGCTCTAGAGTTTGCTATCTGTATGTAACCTCTATAACTAGTATTGATCACTTTACATCACCTTACAGTGTTACTGTTCTTACAGTACCTTAGTTTTTGTAAAATTCATACTTCCCTGGTATAACAATTACAAGTGGAACTTTGCAGTAGAGATTCTTAAATATTTTTTTTTTTGTTCATATTACAGACAAGTGCATCGTTAAAATTTACTGTATTGAACCCAAAAGGACGCATCTGGACAATGGTAGCTGGTGGTGGTGCAAGCGTAATTTATGCTGATACTGTAAGCTTCCATGTTTTATGGATTTTTTTCAATCCTGGCTAAATCTGTCAATAAAGGATAACCTTTTGGGGAAGTTTTATTTAAGTAGGTCAACTAGTGAGTTAATAATAATATATATTGTGTTTACTAGGTTGGAGATTTAGGATATGCCTCAGAGCTTGGCAACTATGCTGAGTATAGTGGAGCTCCAAATGAGGAGGAGGTGCTGCAGTATGCAAGGGTCGTAATTGATGTAAAGCTCACATTTCCAACTGATATTTCTTTGCTTTCTTATGGCTTAAATTTCGCTAAGTGGTCATAGCTAGTGGCTTTATCGCGACATCATCTGTGAAGATTGTGTTCATGAGCCATGACTGTGTTGCAGTGTGCTACTGCAGACCCTCATGGCCGTAAGAGAGCCCTTCTTATTGGAGGTGGCATAGCAAACTTCACGGATGTTGCTGCCACATTCAGCGGAATTATTCGGGCCCTGAGAGAGAAGGTATGCTATTGTAGTTGTATCCTTAATCCACTTCAACTTGTTAATCTGAAGTTGAGTTGGTTTCCCCATCACTCTTACAGGAATCAAAGCTTAAAGCAGCGCGAGTCCACATCTATGTCAGAAGAGGTGGTCCAAACTATCAGACTGGTTTGGCAAAGATGCGTGCATTGGAGGAGGAACTGGGGGTACCACTTCAGGTAAGGAATGAGGATGACAATCATTGTAGGAATCACGCTTTAAAATGTGCCAGTATTTTGTTGTTTGATTGTAGCCATGTTGTGGTTCAGGTTTATGGACAGGAGGCCACAATGACCGTATCTGCAAAGAAGCGATCGATTGCATCATGTCCGAAGCATAACGCAGAGTAATCTTTTTATTCATTTTATGTAATTTTAATAAATAATAATTTGATTGCGGCGGGACTCGAACCTTCTGTAATTCAATTAATGGCATCATCTTTTAAGGATAGATGGAAAACTATTCTTAAAAATAATTTGGTTCCAGCGGGGTTCGAACCCGCGACCTTCGGCTCATAAGACCAACGCTCTAACCAACTGAGCTACGGAACCATGCTATTGATTACATCAGCATAACACAACACGATAAAAAAATAAAAAATTACATCAGCGTACCACAGTATAAAAAATAAAAAAATTACATCAACATAACACACAATTTTGGTTCGAGATCAGCATAACACAACACGATAAAAAAATAAAAAATTACATCAGCGTACCACAGTATAAAAAATAAAAAAATTACATCAACATAACACACAATTTTGGTCCCGGCGGGGCTCGAACCCGCGACCTTCGGCTCATAAGACCAACGCTCTAACCAACTGAGCTACGGGACCAATCAATATAATATTAACTTGTAACTTTAATATATACAAATATACATTTGTTGCCTTTTTAATAATAATGATTACAACCATGTTATGATTTTTTTTATGATATGCTTAAAATTTGACATAAATGCAAAACATACTTTATTCTACTTGTTAATATAATTTAAATTATAAAAAAATATATGGGAAATACATAGTTATTTGTTTTATAATTGCGTTAAGGATATTTATGGAATGGATTGGATTTAATCAATTTTAGAGGAAAAGAAATTTCGTTTAACCACTTGATTTTATTAAACTATCTATTTATCTATTTAATTTAAAATTTAAACATGATTCAGTATAAAATAGTTTGGATTGAGTAAATTATTGTCGAACCTTTGTAGCATGACTAATAGCAATAACTTATAAGTATATTTCATATTAACAGCATGATCATTATGTTTATATACATTTACCTTAAATAATTAATAAAATATCTCTAATCAAACACATTTTTCATACATAAATATAATTTATTGATGCTTCTATGCTTGCAAACATATAAAAAGTGAAGAAATAAAATTGTACTCAATCCAGTAAAAATAGATTGAATCGATTTCATTAGATAATATCAGTTTATAAACCCCTCTGATAGATTGTACAGACTTATGGCGGTATACAAAGTGATTTTATATTCATTCTTCATTTTTTTTTTTTCTCGTTTTGTAAGACCAAAACAAAATATTTGACTTTCATCAAATTTTGTGCAGAAATATATCACAAGTTTTTCCTTTATTTTATTTATTCGTTTAATTTATACTATTAAATATTTAACAAAACTATTATTAACAAATTGCGGGGATAGCTCAGTTGGGAGAGCGTTAGACTGAAGATCTAAAGGTCGCGTGTTCGATCCACGCTCACCGCATTAATTTGTTTTATAAATTATAATTTTTAATATTTTTAACTATATGCAATCTAATTTAACTCATCTTTCTAGAATAGAACTGTTTCTGGACAAGTGTCTGCAGTCTAATTTAACTCATCTTTCTATCCTAGAAGAGAACTATTTCTGGGAAAGTGTCAAGACATCTTTCTAGACAGAGTAACAACACAGGGAATACTAATCGATTTGGTCAGTCTCTAAATCTGAAAGGAGAATACCTCTTGACTATTATTTCTCTCCTCTTGACTATTCTGTAGTGTAAAAATTTCTCATACAGGTTTGTATTTTTTTATTCCTGTCCCTACTTCTTATTACTCGCCTCATTTCTTTCACTTTAATTATGTGCATGTCAGCTTAATCTATATCGCATGTTATTCTATTTTATTCGGGCATGATTGAATTCTTTGTGATGAAAAATAGAAGGAATTGAAAAAGCTGTACAATTTCCAGAGGATTTTCTGTGATTTTTGTGTTATGTCGAGTTATTGCTGCTATTGAAGTTGATGATTGAGGGATCTTTCTGATTACTTGCATAATTGGGCATTTTGTGAATTTGTAAATTTAAGCAAAGTAAACCAGGTAATAAACCACTATATCTTGGTGCTCTCTACCAATTTAGAGAATATTTTGTTTTATATCTCCTTGTTTCATTTTCGACGAGGGTTAAATGCTTTTTCTTTTCTTGAATGTGAAGAATACACCTTTATGCTTTTAAGATATAAGAACAGGGTTTCTTTACGCTTCCTACAGTCAAAAATTTTCAATATTCTTTCGTATTCAGGAGGAACTTTCCCTTTTCTTTTCTCCGTGGGCCAGGTAATTTTAACACGAAGGATCTGCTATGATTTTAAATAATCTCTTTGTGTCTTAGAGGCAATTGTGGTTATATTTTGTACCCTGATTTGGCTTCTTGTAGCTCAGCACTTGGGAGAATGGATACCTTTCTGTTCACTTCTGAGTCAGTGAATGAGGGTCACCCTGACAAGCTTTGCGACCAAATTTCGGACGCAGTGCTCGATGCGTGCCTGGAGCAGGATCCAGAGAGCAAGGTTGCCTGTGAGACCTGCACCAAGACCAACCTGGTCATGGTGTTCGGAGAGATCACAACTAAGACCATTGTAGACTATGAGAAGATTGTACGCGACACATGTCGTTCTATAGGCTTTGTGTCCAATGATGTCGGTCTTGATGCTGACAATTGTAAGGTGCTGGTCTACCTGGAACAACAAAGTCCTGATATTGCTCAGGGAGTCCATGGCCACCTCACCAAACAACCTGAGGAGATAGGTGCGGGTGATCAGGGCCACATGTTTGGATATGCCACTGATGAAACACCTGAGCTTATGCCTCTCAGCCATGTGCTTGCAACCAAGCTCGGTGCTCGCCTCACCGAAGTGCGCAAGAATGGTACATGCACCTGGTTAAGACCTGATGGGAAGACCCAAGTTACTGTGGAGTATTACAATGACAATGGTGCTATGGTCCCGGTTCGTGTTCACACTGTCCTAATTTCAACTCAGCATGATGAAACCGTTACCAATGATGAGATTGCTGCTGATCTCAAAGAACATGTTATCAAGCCTGTTATACCAGAGAAGTACTTAGATGAGAAGACCATTTTCCATCTCAATCCATCAGGTCGTTTTGTCATTGGTGGTCCTCATGGAGATGCCGGTCTCACAGGGCGCAAAATCATCATTGACACATACGGTGGTTGGGGAGCTCATGGTGGGGGTGCCTTCTCTGGGAAGGATCCCACCAAGGTTGACAGGAGTGGAGCCTATATTGCTAGGCAGGCTGCAAAGAGCATTGTGGCCAGTGGTCTTGCTAGAAGGTGCCTTGTTCAAATCTCATATGCAATTGGTGTTCCTGACCCCTTATCAGTGTTTGTTGACACTTATGGGACTGGAAAGATTCCAGACAAGGAGATTCTGAAGATTGTGAAGGAAAACTTTGATTTCAGGCCTGGAATGATTTCCATTAATTTGGACCTCAAAAGGGGAGGAAATGGAAGGTTCTTGAAAACTGCCGCTTACGGTCACTTTGGAAGAGAGGACACTGACTTCACTTGGGAGGTGGTGAAGCCTCTCAAATGGGAGAATTCCCAGGAGTAAGGTTGTTTGTTTGCCATGTGAGTTGTGATGTGTTAGGTCTTGTTTTACCTTCTCCATCTTCACTTCACTTTGTTACTCCTTTACCCCATCCAAAACTTAAGTAACTGAGTATTTGGAAAATATAAGGGACTGTTAAATATAATGTTCGAAAATCAACTATCGCTATGATTACTTTCTATTCATAATTATAACTCCTCTTTGTTCTTAGTCCTTAATCTCGATCAGATCAGTGACGTAAAAAAAAATTGAAAATGTAAGGATGAGAGATAGGAGTTACAAAACTTTGCGGCATCTCAGTTCCGAAGAAGGATCTCGATGACACGGCAGGAGAGTAACTCAATTCTGCCATACTACTCTGTTGTTCCTCGAAAACAGGGAATTAAAAAACAGAGAAAAATGCTGGTTTCGAGTATTGCTCGTACAAATCATTGTTAAGAAACAAAATATCAAAGGAATAGCCATTGAAGAAAAAGGAAATAACATTCTTACCTTTGTGACATACAAAACCTTGTGTCAGATGAAATAACTGTTTTGTTCGACAGATGGAATTGCAAAATACTTGTACATGTTGCACAATGTTCTTTTAGATCTATAACGCAAAAATCACTTAGAGCTAATATGAATGAAATTAAGGAGAATAAGCATGATATGTTTATTAAAAATTAAATTAGGGAGTTTAACATAAACTCTTGCCGTCCCTGTACATTTTGTTACCAGGTTTTTACATGCAAAAGAAAATAAGCAATCATCTAGTTGAAGAAGCAAGAACAGAACATACATATTTATTTTTAAGAACGAAGGACTGTATGTATAGTTTGCAGGTCACAATATGTTCAGACATGGCAGAATAATTCAATTAATGCAAATAGGGACCATCATACATTTTGTATTTATATGGATTGATGTTGATGCTCATATGTTGTGTTTGAGCATCAACATCAATACATATAAATACAAAATATTTGATGGTCCTACATATACTTTTGTTTTTGGTTATAAAATCGAAAGAACCCAACATATTGGCAAAAAATAACAATTTAAATTGGTCTCGCTTTGCTTCATGTATATTCTCATTCTTTAATATTTATCTGCATAATTAACTTTTTTTTAACCATCTTTCCTTTTCCATCTATATTTTTTTATTTCTATCCCTAAATTGAATTTCAATCATTTTTTTAAAACCTTTTAATAAAAATAACTTCGTATCATTATTTACATTTATAGGTTTTTCTAACTACTTTATATACAATAAAATATATTCAACGTTTGATATAAACTTAAAATATAGAGCACAGTTTCTATAAAAGGAAAATAAAAGTACACTGTTGACAAACTTAATTCTTATAAATTTTGATATATAAATAACATTTATTCTGAAGTGTAATACACACTAAAATGCACCAATAAGTTATTGAACTTGACACCTTTAAGCAAGGAACCTTATGTATGCAGTTAAAGAAAGATATAAAATTCTGTACACCCCTATATTATGGGTTCTTATGGTAGAAATGGCATCCACCTTCTTACACAAGCAATATCTATACTACAAACAAACAAGGGGACACCAACAACTGACCAATGCATGGCAAAACGAATATTAAAAATAACAATATCTCCAGCTGTACCAACCCTGCAATGGCCATCATAGGTACCCAAAAATCCAATAATCTAAAAAGCTATGGAGGAAAATAAGAAGCTACCACTTCCATTTCCACTTTATACATCCCACCAATTCTGCATATGAATCCATCTTAGGTTCATTCTGTTGTCACCCTCTTCTTTCTTCTCCAGAACCCTGAACCTCACTTCTGTCTGTGTCAGAATATATTTCTCCACTACCCCCTTGATTTCTTCTTCGGTGTCTTCGGTCCTGAACATTCAGACAACCAATAAAATCATATGTCAGCCTAGAATCCATCTCAAAACGCCATTCATCTCTAAGATGGAATATTTTGAAATGATGTGATTATGCTTCTAAGTTTTTACACTAAAAGCAAGTTGATAATAAAGTAAAACCAGTATAGTCTTTTTCATCCAAAACTTATCAAATCTTGGCCTAGTTTCAAATGTTCAAAGTGGAACATGTAAACGTTCATCTAAAAGTAAGTAGTACGTTTTTGTTGATTTTTACCATAGATAACCAAGAATATAGGGAAAAATGTGCTATACTGGATGTATTCATGAAAGTAGAGAGGAGATAGTAACAGAGTTTGGGGACTTAAATCATGACCATGGGAAAAAACAAACCTCTCTTAGTAAAGGGTATTCCTCTGACTCCAGCATTCGAACGACATGGCCCATCTTGGGCCTTTTCTCAGAATCTGGATCTACACATCTCAAAGCAGTTAAGAGAGCCCGTTTTAAAGCTCTAGTGCTTGGCTTCACCTCAATGTTGGGGTCCACCACTTCTTCTGATCTCCTATTTCCAACCATCATCTTCAGCCAATCAACCAGGTTCACCTTAAAGCAATAAAGATAATTGGTATAGGTAAGTTAAAGCACTATATCAGAATCGGAACCTGTCATCTAGAGGAATATTTATAGCACACCACCCAAACTAATCCTCTTATAATCATTGCAGGTGTCAGCCAGAGTTCACACACTGTAGTTAAATTGGATGTGATGTGATTGATCCTGAATTCTTCAAAGTGCATCCCAAATTTTAGGGAGGTCCAATATGTAAGGTTTTAGAGCAATCTTGGGATAAAATTTCAAAAGAATAGGTTAACGGATTTTGCTTTGAAGGAGGCGGTTTCCTTACAGAAATAGTGGAAGTAGAAGATTAGTGTCAATTTTTTATCCCAGAGCAAAAATAACACGTAATGAACTGAAGAAACAACTAAAAATTTATCCTAAAGTAGTAGTGACAATAATGAACATGCAAAAAGGATAGTTACTAGCATTGTTGAGAATGTTAGTATTATCTGTTTCAAAAGCGAAGATTAACTTTTAAGTCCTATCGTTGCTTTAATTTAACCAGTAAAATATTTTTTAAGCATAATGCCCCAGCACAATCCCAAGCCACTGGTTCAAATACTGAAACCAGAAGGTTACAAACAAACATCTACCCTTCCGCAAACTTCAGTAGGTGGGGAGCCTGGTACACTGGGTCGCTCTTTAATGTCCCAATTATTTGCTTCTCTTGGTGTTGGAGAAAATAATTAGATCTAGCTATAACATATGTTCAGATTAGCCTCAAATGCACAAGACACTATACAGTTACTTCAGTGCCACAATTTAGCTGAATGAACTGAACTTACAGCTGGATTTGTACCAACAGAAGATTATTTGGTGAATTGCTCAAAAAACACACAGTGCACACAAGCTGAAAGCTGGATTTTTCCCAAGTGGAAAAGTAAGTTTACTCACTTCATTTGCTGGTCGACCATAGTCAACTGGATCTCTTCCAGTAATTCCTTCCAATAGCAAAACACCAAAGCTATAAACATCACTCTTCTCATTTAGAAGGCCAGTATTTGCATATTCAGGAGCCACGTATCTGTGAAATATTTATAGCAATGAAGAAAATAAGAATAGTTTTTCCCATACAAAAATAACAATACTGAGTATGGGAAAACTTGAGCAAAGCACAAAATTGCTGACCCAAAAGTTCCCATAACTCTTGTGGTGACATAGCTCTTCCCAGCACCCAATAACTTGGCCAGGCCAAAATCAGAAACCTTGGCATTGAAATCATCATCAATTAATATGTTGCTTGACTTGATATCCCGGTGTACCACTTTTGGCTCAATTGCTTCATGCAAATATGCTAGCCTGAAACAAGTAAATTGCTTTATATGAGGACTAAGAAAAAATAAAAGTAACTTAGATGCAGACACTCACGCTTTGGCTGTGCCAAGCAGAATCTTGATACGTGCTTCCCAGGTAAGGTATCCATGGTGGCGCATACCTCCATGAAGCCATTGCTCTAAGTTTCCATTATTGACATACTCATAAATTAACATTCTGCAAATACATCACAATAGGAGAAAATATGTTTCAGTGAACATGAGATCAACCACACAACAACAAGTAGCAGATTAGTGAACATGCCATTCATATTATTCTGGCAAAAGTTATTTAATTTAGCTAAACAGGTTATAATATTATAAGCACGGTTGTCAAACTCGAAAAAGTGTACATAAAATTGTAGAGTTTCCATATTGTAAGACTTTGATCAATATAAAAAATAATATTAAAAACCTATTAATTAATGACATATATGCATGATATAGTACTCTTAACAGAACAATAATTTCACATATCAATTTCATAATTAAGAAAGGTAGCAAACCACAATAAGAAGTGTGATGGTACATTAGTAAGAAATTAGAACAAACTACATAAATGACCTAATCATATATAAACAATTGTATTTGATTTCAATAGGGGGAGGGGGGAAGAGAGCAAAAATTGTATTTGATTTCAAACTCGTGGACTTACTGACTCAAGTGTTTATGAGTCTACTTGACTTTATCCAGAACATAGTTTGACGAGTTAACTCGTTTTGGTTACTTATAATCATACAATTGTAAGACTTAAGAGTTAACTCAAGAGTTTGACGACCTTGATTATATGAAAACATAGATGTTGAGATGATAAAAATTGTAATTGAGAATTGTGATACCTGTGAGTTCCCTCAATGCAGTACCCCAAAAGGCGAACCAAGTTTTTGTGTCGGACATGGCCAATAGCTTCAACTTCCACTCTAAATTCTTTCTCTGCTTGACCACTGCTAAACCAAAGATCTTAGGAGTTTAATTTCAGCTGAACAGAGAAGGAATAAAAGCAAAGCTACTAAGGTTATCTACAAAGGACAATTGAACACTGTACTGGGACTCACATGTTATTGAGTATCTTCTTAACTGCCACTGGAGTTCCATTGACCAACTGCCCCCTATAAACCACTCCATACCCTCCTTCACCGAGGACATTTTCTTTGGAAAAACGGTTTGTGGCAAGTTCAAGATCCCTCAAGGTAAACCAGTGACCCCAACCCAAGTGAGAGAATTCCGGAAGGCCAGATAGAGGTGAGGGAGCTGTTACAGGGTGTGAAGAAGATTGCTTGTACACTGTAAACGTACCAGAGCTTCCTTCTTCTCCTGATTGTGAGTGTGAACCACTTCCATCTTTCTCTGTGTAACGAAATGAATCTGAGTGAGTGCTGCTATTCCCATTCTTCATCTTCCCCACACCTAAATGAACCATTACATTGTCTGATTCCGTGTCACTTGACTTGTTCTGAATTGTAAGAAGTATTCCATCACGAGGAGCAAATGCTTTAGTTGACACTTGTTCAACCCGCACTTCCTTGATTTCCTTTGAGACAGTTGGTATTTGACTAAGGGGAATCCTGCCTTTCTCTTTTCTATATTTCTTCCTTGACGTGAGGCAAAGTGAGACCACAGAAAGAATGACTATGATAGACAAACCAACTACAATTCCAATTAATTCCCAAACTTTGAGACCAAAAATGGGAGTTTTCTTGGATAATTCAGCATTAAGACTAAACCCCATTTCTCAGAAAGCCTTGATACCTACAGTATGCAACACAAAGACATTATCAATCAATTAACTCAATAGCACACGTTCATCCAAAAATTAGAAGGAGAGGGAACCAGGAAATACTAACATGAGATTGGAAATAACTCAAATGAAAGAGCTAACATACCAACAACCTATATACCATCCATATCATAATCTCACTCTTACCAGTACTCATTCAGAAGAACAAGTGAGAAGCCTAAAATCCCAGATCTTTAAAGCAGCCCCGTCACAAATTAAGAGGATCAAACAAAGAAACAAATCTAAAGGACAGATCTTTGAGGCCTCCTAATCTTGGGGTGTCAGCAAAAGCAAGTGTGTCTGTATAGGCGAGAATCCTATTCCATATATATGTGGAAAATGTGAGAATGAATCTAAGTTGGAGTGGAGCTATCTGAAGAACAGAGAGAAAGGTGGTCGGGTAAGAGGGAGATGAAGGGAAATGTGAGTGATGATAAAGAGGAAGGGGTGGAGTTATCAGTGGTAGGTGATGAGTTTTGGAATAGATGCCTTCCAACGCATGCATATAAACAAACATCCATTTTTTTTTTTCTAACATGAAAATTCTCTAATGTAATGCAAGTACGGAGGAACACAAAACAAAGGTACGCTTCTCCATCTCAGCCATTTCATGAAGGTGACTCATTATCGCTAACTAATTAAATTTTTCTCCTTCTTTTCTTTGCCTTTTCTCTTTCCTTTCCTTGATTTGATATGATGGTGAGCCAAGCTGTAAATTTACTATCCATCTATGGCAACTTCTGTCCAATTTTTATCTTTTTCTTTTCCTATTTTTATCTTCTCCTTCCTCAATTTACTAAACATTGATATTTTTTATTCATTTCTTTCAGACATTTAAAACAAAAATTATATTCAAGATATGGTTAGACATTAGACACAGATGCATCTTTTAATAAATATTCAAATTTGAAACTTATTTGGAAACAAATTCCTTTAACTAAACCAAACCTAGATGATATTTTAATCCATCTTTGAGCAAACAAGTTGAGAGAAAGAAGATAAAAAATATAAAAAAAAAATTATATGCCTAACATTTTTAGTTAACATACTTTGTTATTGTAAATTTAAGTTACCATTATTTATAAATGAGATTTCCTTTATAATCAGTATCTAGTTTATCTTTTTATTTATTTTAGAATAAAATTTGCATTTGTTTTTTTAATCATATTTAGATTAATAACACACATGATATGTATTATATTATCATATACAACTCTAAAAAAATATGTTTTATTTCTATTTAAATTTAAGACAATATTATTTATTTTCTTAAATTTATATAATTATTATTCACCTAAATTTTTTAATTAATTTACATATTTGTTTTTATTATGATGTAGAAATAAATAAGGATAAAATTTATTATTTTTCTTGATAGTTTCAAAATAACCTTAAACGATAAAGTAATACTAAATTTAATTAATTTTAATTTAGTTTAAATTTCGACTCGCCATAAAAGTTATATTTTCTTAATTAAAATAAATTTGCTATTTTCAAACAATTTTAATCTATTTATTTCAATTAATATAGTAAAACTATTTCCAATTTACGATTCAAATATCTATTTTTTATATTTTATAGTTTGTCCTGAATCTAAAAATAATTGTGAAATATACGACAAAATTATTAATTACCCGTTAGTATTTTTTTGAGAAAAATATTTATCGGTGTTACTAGGGTTATAGTTTATTCCTGAATGTTAATAAATCATGAATGATTTTTCTAATAAAATATATGAATGGATTTTTTGTGATTACAATCAGATAAGTATTTAAGGTCGGAATAGGAAATAAATGAGTAAAAAAATCCCATGAATAGGAAAAAAGGAAAGAGGAAAAATATTAATTAAATCATTAAATATAACTTAACATGCCTATATTCAATGTTAAACAGCTACACGCTAGTATTTTTTTATTATTAGTAAACAGATTTGTTCTTTTAAATTGAAGATTTAAGACCAAATAAAAAGAAAAAAGTTTGAAAAATATTTTTTAACAATGTTATCCATTATTCCACTGTTGTTCACAAAAAGAAGAATGAAACAATAATTCACCATGACCGTGAGTTGATGAAAGACAAGACAAGGAACATTATTGTTGTGTGCATAACGAACCAATGATGTTATGTGCTTGGCCTAATCCTATGTACAGAAAGAAAGTGGTTACAGGGAAGAATGAAGAAGAGGTGGGTGGAAATATATAGAATTATAGGTGCTAAAAATAAATATGGATCACTTCTATTTGTGTAGCTTGTGAACTAACTGTGGAGTTAAAGGTTGGGTTATTAGGACCAGCAATGTCTTCAATTCTTTCACCATCATCACTAGTTGTGGTCCATACTCAGTGTATGGTCAAAGAATGTGCACCTAAACATCTTAGTCATGCCACCAAACATACCTTTACAACCAGAACATACAATATATATAACATAAACTTATTTTTTTTACACGAAATAGTAGAAACAAAATAACTAGTTGCTGAGTTGGTTTGTCACCCAGTTTCTTATGTAAGTTATATTATTTTTACACGAACTTTAGATAAAGTAAGTGAAAATTATGAAAATTTAAATTATTTTATAATCAAGTTTATTAAAACTAATTTTAAGATAATTGATTTTGTTAAAGTGAGAAAAAAAACTATCCAGGTAATTTAGAATAATGTCTCTTAAACCCACCTATCATCTTGTTTGAGTTCCTCCATAAATAAACAAATTTAATAAAACAATTATGTTATAATTTAGTCTAAACTTAATTTAAATATTTTATATTAATATTAGAGAGATTAAAGTTATAAAATAAATTAACATATATATATATATATATATATATATATATATTATAATCTTAAAATATTTATTGTAAAAAATTGTAATTTTAATTTTAATATAAAAAATGTTTTAAATTTTATTTTTAAGAAATGACAAATTTGTGGATCAAGTTTAGATCATGAGATAAAATTTTCATTCTGCTTAATTTGATAGTTAACTTAATATATCCATATGATTATCTAGATAGATGTCCGCGTAAATATAAATGATTTTCTTATTTTGTGTCAATTATTTTTTTCTTCATTAAAGATTGAAAAATAATTTTTATTGATTTACATAAATATTAATCAACTTTTAATATAATAATATTTTTCTAGATAGTATAATTCAATTGAGAATTATAAAATATAGTATAATAGTTAATTTTATAATGCTCCATTTTTTATATATCCACATTTTCAAGAAATTTTATAACAATTAATGAAATACTCATTCCTAAAAAATTCAAGAATAATATAATTATTAGTTTGTTTAATATTATACCGTTTTTCTTTCGCAAAAACATGAATTATATATATATATATATATATATATATATATAAATTTAACACCTTGGATCATATATTATTAAGTAAATTTTATAAATAAGTATAACATTAATGAATTAAGGAAAACCTAATTAATAAAATTAGAGTAATATTTATATATATTTTTTCTTATGAAAATATATCATTTTCATAATATATAATTGTATTACTTATTTTGACAAGAAAGGTAATAATATATAATATAATAAATTCAAAGAAGAAAACAAATAAAATGGTCAATCATCAATTGCTTCGACCTCACTTAACATAGAATTGAGAAATATCCTTTCACTACTTTCTATTTTTGTGGTATGCGGCCAAATTTTCTAAACATAATAAAAGAGAAACTAAATAAAAGTTTCACATGTTAAGTAAACTAATAAAGTAAGACAAATTATTGATAGGGTTATATCTTAACTATTGAATTTTGAAAGAACGATAATAAAATTATAAATATATAAATAAATATATAAAATAATAATTAAGTTTAGAGAATAAAATCATAAATTATATAAGAATTATAAAATTGAAGAGAGACTAAAAGGATAAGATTGTAAATATATAAATAAATATATTAAAATTTGAGAGGACTAAAATCATAAATTATATGGGAGTTACAAAATATTAGAAGATCATGACACTCCTTAATTTTTAAGAAGATCTACATGTGCGTATTAAAATTTTCTTCTAATGAAATATAAAAGAAAGAGAAAGAAAAAAAATAATAAGAAAAAAAATCTAAAATCTTTTTTTTTGTGCTTGACTTCATAAATTTAGTACAATGTTTATCCGTTGAATTATTTCAAATTAGGCTTAGAATTGACTTCAAACAAACAAAATTTACTTATAAAATAAAAGTTAACGATAGTGTGAGATTTTAATCTTCAAAGAGTTTACAGTAACCATATTCTGTAGGATATTTCATTTTTTAAAATTTACTAATTTGTTTTTGGTAATCTCAGATAAACAATGACAACCCTGTCATAATTATGACATATTAGATGTTATTACAATTTTAAAGTGACTTTGTAACAAAAACAAGCTTCCTCGTACTTGAGACTTGAGTAAGGTGCATGAAATATACATTTGATCTCATAAAAATTTCAGAATCTTTTTTTATATCATATGAAAATTAAAACCAAGGCTTGAAACATCATTCAACCCTTTAAAAATAGTCTAAAATATGAGTAGTTTTGAAAATTTATGACCATAACATTTGTTGTAGCTATAATTTTTACAACTTCGATCTGGGTAAAAGTAAAAAACTCGGAAATTGCATGATGCTTTGTTTTGTAACTTCTTCGTTAGTGACATTTTATTGCGTCATAGGCTTTTTAAAATATAAACATTAAAGTTTTAGTTGTGATGTAAATATTAGAAAAACTTTTAGAGGAAAAAAATTACTGTATAATTTTACACTTTTGAAAGAGATTAGTTTTCACATTTTAGTTGAGTTTCCAAATTTCCACTTTTACTACTTATTTTCATTGTTTTCCTAGTCTTTAAATTATTATATATTTACACTATTAGAAAAAAAGCTTTTACAAGTTATTATGATAGTGAATTGTAAGTTCTTTATTATTTTTAAATCACTTAAAATTTCGCGGAAAAAAAAACTTGAAATCGAAAAGTAAAACAAATTAAAGAAAAATTAAAGTTTTTTTTAAATCGATAATTCTTAGTTGATTTATTTATTTATTATCATTATAAACGAATTAGTTTTGTAGAAAAAGTCTTGTTAATGATCACTAATTGCTGATGTTACATCACTATTATGTATAATGCATAACAGATGCAGAACCTTTGTTTGCTACATCCATAAATTAGAGGAAGAAAGAACAATCATAGCAAAACTACATGATGAAACAAGGAAGGAAAGTAGGTTGGGTGGTATAGATAGTACTTGGAATTGAAAAAGATACCCTAACAAATTTGATTTGAAATGTATGAAGGTTGAATCTGAAGCAAATTGAGCATTGAATTAGTCTTGGCCAAAATCATATGTTGTGGCTGTGATGTTCAACACTAGCAACGTATAAATCTCAAACTGCATAATTGTTCTGTACTTTGTCGCTTCAGTGATCAAATCACATTAATCATGAAACAAGATTGGTCTTGAATGGTCTCAATTGCTCCACTTAGGAAGGTCCCAAGAATTTTGACATGTGTGTATTGTCAAATTTTTAATGTCTATTATTCCAGAAAAAACCAGGCCAAGCATGTCAATGCACACACGAATGCTTAACATAGGCCTCTCAAAATAAACACATTATTACGTAGTTAATGCTACTTTGTTTGAAGTACCTGCAATATATATGGTAGGTGATGCTATCTACTTATTGACCCAATCAAATTATGCATGTTTGTTTGTTTGTTTGTTTGGCATGATTCATGAACACGGATTTCACACAACTTTGTGAAACGCAGTTTATTGACGATGGGCGTCGTGGGAGGAACACAAATGTTAGCATCATGGATTCATGGTTGCGTTTGATACGCATCAATTCAATAGCAGCATAATCACTAAAGCACTACAAAACTAGAGCAGTGGGATTTACTTTTTTTGGAGCAATTTAGACGCAGAATAAATACAATATGCATAAACATGTGATGATTTTGTTTAGTTGTTATCATCATTGATGGTATTCTATATCAATCGTTAATTATTTTATTTTCTAATTATATATAACTAATAAACTATTATACTTTATTATAGCAACACTTTGCTTAACTTTTTCACATTGAAAAATGGACTTTTTTTATTTAATTAATTTTGTAAAATATGAAAAACTACTATAATTAAAATAATATACCTGGTTAAGAACGGGAACACGATCGGGCTAGCCTATTAGTTCACTAAATTTTAGAATTATTTAAAAAAATTTATATACGTACTAAAAAATATATGAATATTTTCAATTTTAATTGAATAATTAATCAATATAAATGATAGAATTATATATTTGTATAATTCAAATAATATAATGAAAAATTTAAAGTTTTTAGATTATGATATTTTTTATTTTTATTTTAATATGTTATATATATATATATATATATATATACATATATAATATTAATATGTTTCTTTTCGGTTCACATTTACAAGAACGAAAGCTTGAAATAACTGTTTGTAACTCAGACCTACGCATTTCAATTGGGCTGGATCCACCAAGGGCCCAGTACCAGTGAAAATTTTTGAGTCCAACCATTGCTTAAAAATGTTCATTGTATTACTTTTAAATGTGAATATTACTTTTAATTTGTTTATTTTATTTATTTTAACTGAGCAATTGAAATACTAACGCAACTAAATAATGATTAAAATTATGAGAATTTTTTCTTTTATTTATTTTTAATAAAAATCACAACCCATTTTACAAAATAGATCAAGTCCACACAATTTATTAATCTCTGTTAAGCATAAAAGAGAAATAGATGATTAAAAAAAGAAGAAAATGTTGAATTAATGAGATGTAATTGTACCACTCTTGGGGGTGTACGGTTCCCGCCAGGCATTGTTTTGAAAATGGGAATTCAATTCAATTCATCACTGAACGAATGAAGTGAAGCAAGAGTAGAAGCAGAAGCAGAAGCAGAAGCATGAGCACCGATTCCGAAGCTGTTAAGGGCACAGGTTTCCCTCTTCCTCGCTGCCCCTCTTCAAATTCAAATCCACTTCCCTCTTCACTCGATCTCTGGTCACAAATCGTCGCCGCTGAATCCCCCCACCCCCAGCGAATCGACGTCGTTTACCGGAGAAGACAACCTCGCAACCCCCACAATCATCCCAACTCGTACCTTCATCTTCTTCCTTCCATTATTGTACTCTTATTCCAGTTTATTTTTTTGAATGTTTTCCTTTTCGATCTATTTTTCCAGAAATCCTCCCGATGCTGCCCTACCGCGTCCGACTCGCCCGAGTTTGGATCCCAACAAGCGAGTCAGTTGGAATCGTTCGCTTTCCATCAGGTATGTATTGTCTTCGATTAGTTGCTTTTGGATTATCGATTGCGGTTGATTTTTTATTTATCGTTTTTAACAGAGGGAGGACTAGTATTGCCGTTGGTGCTTGTATGGTTTACCAGCCTCAGTTAAAGAAGGACAAAAGGAAAGGAAAACCCGCACTTCCCAAAGTATGTTCTTATCATGACACAATGTTACTCCATGTCTTGCATTCTGCATTTTTGAGAAATGCAAGAATTATTGTAATTTTTAACAATAACAATAAATGATGTCTAAATCAAAACATCTGGGAGTTGGGTCTACCACATCCAAGGTTTGAATTTCTGTTAGGAGAGGTGTCCACATTTGAAGGATTACTTTTGAAGGAGAATTTTCTGCGAGGTCTTAGGATATTTGAATTGTCTGTCTGTTTGTTGATGTGTGTTTGGTGTGTACAGGGGAAGCTTGTGCAACCTCCAAACGTTGAGAAGGAGAAGTTATACTTCGAAGAGGTTGATGCTTTTGAGTTGTTGGAGGAAAGCCCCTCACCCAAGAAAAACACATGGATCATAGGTGATATGGTACAAGAGGGACCGATGCCAACTATATGCTCCAGATTAGAAAAGTGGTTACACTCTAGAAGGTTAAACCACACCTACGGTCCCTCTAGCACACTGTCCAAGATACTAGATACTTCATCCACTCGTTTAGAAGCTATTCAAGATATTGATTTCAGTACTCCTGAAATGAGAACATTGGAACGAACTGAGAAAAGCAATTCACTACTGCAAGCCATTAAAACTGGAGATAGGAAACCATCTATTGAAAATGATATTCATCTGCAAACAAATGAAGAGATGCTGTTGGCTCAATGTAGTGAAGGACGTGAAGATATTAATGCAGCTGTTAAGAAACTTTCTCTGGCATCAACGTCTTCGATTGACGATGATCACATTAGTCCATTTTCCGCTTTATTATCAATCTGTGGACAGTCCGCGCCTTCACTGTTACAAAATATCTTCTCTAGGTATTTGATTGTTTCTTATTTTCTAGCAACATGCTATATTGGTTTATGTTTGACTGACAAAGGTTGGGATTTGTGTGTGCTTGAGGATTTTAAAAGCATTTTAATTTCTACTTGCATTTATATATTAGTTAGTTGTTTGCAACGCACTGTTTCTACTTCCCATGCGACCTACTTATTTGGTTGTTTTATTATAAAAGCTTTTTTTTTTAAGCTTTTGGTATTGAAATTGTTATTTTTAGTGTGCGTGCCAATTTTGTCTGCAATTAGTATTGGATTGTGATGTTAAGACGTTAGTTTGATGTTAATTGATATTTCTCCCCTTTATACACATTATAGTGCTGTAATCTCACATTAGCTGTTAAACCGGAAATAGATAATTATTTTTTCTTCAACATCACAAGGGACTTGCGTTATAAATCTGAATTTGTGTATTTTGTCCTGATAGTAACTTGTTTTTGCTTGCCATGGGTGATCTAAGGTTCATGGTGTGAGGTTGAAAACTAAGGGGACATTTATCTGTGCTTTTTATTTCTATTTTCACTTTTTAATTACAAAAATGTCACATTGTTTTCAGTTTGTTTGCTATTTTTAAAGACTTTGTACGGGAGACTAATAAAACAAAAATATTGTTTTCAGTGTTTTCTGTACATATATTTAAGAAATAAAGTTGATACTTTTGTTACTAAAAAATTGAAACATAAAATGAACACAGGAGACCAAAAGGCAAGTAAATGCATTCTATTTGTTTTGGGGGCATAATTGACCCTCTCTAATTTGAAAGTTCAAAGCCATAGAAATCAAGTAACGAAAGTAAGCTTGCATAGGGCATATCCAAGAACTACTTCTGTAATTTTTAATTCAGAAATGTTATTGAATAGTGCAGCCATAACATTTTGATAAACATTCCAAGTGATTTTGAATATGGTTCAGTGTTCTCATGTTCATAGGAATGCAAATTTTATTTTTCCAGTGGCTCAAAAACTATTGTGAAAGTTGGTGAAGGAACATTTGGAGAAGCCTTCAAGGTTAATAATTATGTCTGCAAAATAGTTCCGTTTGACGGGGACTTCAGAGTGAATGGGGAAATACAGAAGGTAAAAGTCGCATTTATACTGTATGATATATTTAGATACTATTATTTTTTATTCCAAATAGTTATTCGTTCAAATGTAAGTGTAACTATGTTTCCCTGCTACGATTTGAATATTTGTTGAATATGTTTATATTACCTTTTTAAATTTATTTGAATTGATTGGGATGCCCTGTTCACAGACCAAAGTATTGTGAAGTTAATGAATTGTTGGCTCTATGTACTACAGAGATCTGAAGAATTGCTGGAGGAGGTACTTCTTTGCAAAACTCTCAATTTATTGAGAGGAAAAGAAGGAGCTTCTGATAATTTATGCCGCGCATTTATAGATTGCATAGAGTAAGTATCTGACTTAAATAATATTAAGGTGCTGGCAATTTCCTATTCTACCACCTAGTTTAAGGTTTTAAATTGCGGTTGAATTTCATATACTGTGGGAAACTACATACAGAGATGGTCGTGGACAACCTAAATGTCTCGACATGCAGCTTAAATTGTGGTCGCAGACTCCTCTTAAAACCTTAGTTCTAACGATTGTTTCTAAGTTTCCCCAACTTTGGTTTTCTACTTCTCACAATTGCGGCATGGTAGAAAGTAGAAACCCAAATGATTGGAAGGGCCATTACCATTAAGCCAGATTGATATAGCTATTTTCGAATTTCAATTTTTACTGACTTTCGGTTAAGTAATAGTGTCTCATCTAGTTATGGTCCTGTCGTCTGTGATAGATTTAGAGTATGTCAGGGCCCTTATGATGCGGCACTAATTCGAGCATGGGAAGATTGGGATCTTAAGCATGGTTCAGAGAATGATCATCCAAAAGAGTTCCCAGATAAACAGGTTTCCTCTTTTAACTTCAGCAGTGATGAACTTACGTGTATTTCTTATTTCTAATTTTGAATTAAATTTCACAATGCCACTTACAATGATATATTGCTGTGAACATAATAAAATGGTGATAATTGGTTATGAACTTATGACGCTACTGTCATCTCTGTGAAACAAACCATTGCTAATTTTGTTTGAACAATGATACATTCTTCGGTTACTTCTTAATAATTTCCTACATTTATTTACATCAAATGAGCAATCCATACCTTCATAAAAATCAAGTATGGCTATATCTCCAAACAAGGATTAGATTCTAATTTATAATTACATTCAGTGTTACGTGGTGTTCGTACAAGAACATGGTGGCAAGGATCTCGAAGGATTTGCACTCCTGAATTTTGACGAGGCAAGGGCGTTACTGGCTCAGGTAAGTTATACGTATTATGAATTTTGACGAGGCAAGGACCTTACTGGCTCGGGCAAGTGCTTGAAGCTTGAAAAGGTACTAATTTTTAGGCTAATTTCTGTCATAAAATACAGGTTACGGCTGGGCTTGCTGTGGCTGAGTCTGCGTTTGAATTTGAACACCGAGATCTTCACTGGTGGGTCATCATGCAAAACTATGATGTCATTATATTTTCACGATTACTAATTTATGAATATTTAATTGCTCAGGGGAAATATACTTGTGGGCCGAAGTGATTCTGAAACGTTGCAGTTCACTCTCGATGGCAGGAAGATGTTAGTCAAAACGTATGGTTTAATAATATCTATTATTGACTTCACTTTATCAAGAATAAACACAGGTGAGCACTTGCAGCTTTGGCTTTAGTATTTATATAGGGTTTTAAATGTGTCATTGGTTATGATTAAATGTCTTGTTCGCACAGGTGATAGAATACTGTATTTAGATCTTTCATCTGATCCTGACCTATTTAAAGGACCGAAAGGAGACAAACAGGTAAGGAGTGCTTATTTAGAGTAGTCAGTTCTGTTTGTTCTATCTGATTAAACAATTGATTCTAAATAACATATGCAGTCAGAAACATATCGGAGGATGAAGGAGGTGACTGAAGATTGGTGGGAAGGAAGGTACGATTTTCATAACTTTCTTTTTATTTATTTTTTCTCCTGTGACATTTTTAAAAAAATAATTCAGACATGATTAAATACTAAATGAGTGTATCTTCTGCCATGAATTCGAATATTTCGGATCGTTACATTATGGAAATTGTAGCATCTATTGTTAGACATTATTCCCTCGTTCTTCCTTTTTTTTTTTTTCATTTATTTATTAAAGCCAATTTTCAATAAACTTGGATAATGAACAATGAGAACTTGACTATGAGTGTCATACGGTGTATAATATTATTTACAGTGACGTAATGTGAATAGTCAAAGGGATTCAAATCACTTATCCCGCCAATCCCCTTGTCTCAAGAAGTAATACCTCAAATTCTTCTGAAAATAGCAATATTTTATCCACTTTTTATTTTTTTGGAAAGTCATGATTTTCACGGCAGAAACAGGAAAAAGGATAGGCAAAATGACATATGATTTGATTTTTTGTTCAACTAGGCCCCAACTAAAATCAAGGAGACAGGAGAGGGAGGATATACTTCCCATATAAAAATCCCTTAGGGATGAGCTAAAGCTGTAGGTTCTTGTTTACTTGAAACATTTGTCTCAAAAAGATTGATTGTGTAAAATATCTTTTTGTTGTACTCTGGTGCAAACTTATTCAAAATTTCAAATGTGATTCGTATCCCTCTTAAGACTTCCTTGTAGCCCGTAACTCTCCTCCGTTGGCATTTTGGTATACAACAGCTATAAAAAAAACTTAAGATTGACTATGTGAATCATATAATTTTCATTCTACTTGCTTAACGACTACATCTTTACAGGTATAATTTTCTTATTACTTTGATCATGTAAGCTTTAAATTTTTATTTTCTTCTTGCTGTCTTACTTTTTCATTTTTAGTCAAAAGAACAAATTATGAAACTGAAACAATTCATTCAGAACTCCCTTTAAATCGTTATGCAGTATTTGTTACGAGATTCCTCTTAATAACTTGTCCTAGTTGTTGCTTTTGATCCTCCTTGTAGCCCGTAAATCCCTTCCATTTGGCATTCCTCGTGTAAGGAAAATTAATCGTGTACAAAACAAAATTTACATTTTTTATTGATTGAAGTATGATTCCACATATCCACGCCAAATTAGTCCTGGCATACAAGTTTCAATTTTCTGTTATCGTATTTTCTTGACGCTGAATTCTGGTTGCCTTCTCAAATTTACAGTTGTCCAAAAACAAACGTTTTATGGTTGATCTATTTGGTAGACATACTCCTCACGAAGAAATCATTTGTAAGTCTTCTCTCTAGTTTTAGCAACCATGTTCCAATTTAGCGTGTTTTTATTAAATGGATGTTGATTTTCAATTTTTAGTTTCACTTTCACTTTCGCTTTGCAAATCGTGCTTTGTATACTCTGCTGTCATATCACTTCATTACTCGATTTCAGGATAGTTTGTGTTTTATAATTGTTAAGAAAGTTAATCTTTTTCTTCTCCCTATCTTTCTATGCTGTTTACACTTGGGTTTGCTACTTTGGTTACTTGAGTTAAGCGGCATTTATTTTGAGTAGTCATACACTATTGGTCTTAGTTGAATTGATCAATGTCAATTGCAAAATATCGACCCTAAGTATAATGAACTACTGTCACTGCAGGAACGCACCTCGAAGCACGAGAGAGATCTACGCTCCTTCAAGAAACGTCTTGATCAGTATGATTCGTCAAAGGAAGCAATTCTTGATCCCTTCTTCACCGATTTGTTCATTGAGTCTGACGCAAAGGTTTAACAAGCTAGAGCTTCTTTTCCCATCTAACACGTGGCCTTTTGTCCAAACTTTAACCACCTTTTTGCATCTTTGGAGGCAGCTTATGCCATTGTTCAACGTGATCCTTACAAGCTGAATTATGGTTTGCTAAGTTAATATATTGATGTATAGATCGAATGTGATAACTGAATACATGGCTCCAAAACTTCCACAGCGATTCAGGGTAAGTGATAATTTTCTTCTGTAAATATTATAGCCTGATACTGGTCCTGTGGTATTCCGACTTAGTGTTGTCACATGTTAATTTTAATGTTCATCGTTGACATTATTTTTAGGTACACAGCAAAATTTAAGAAAATAATAAAATTTCAAAGCTTTACAAGGAATTTTAATTTGGAATAAAATATGTTTTAAGTCTTAAAGTAAAACCACAATGAAATGTAGAGTTAAGGACTAAATCTATGTATGTGACTGTTGACTAATCATCTGGGAAAGCTAAAGTACTTTTTTTATGTGACAATTATTTGTATAACTGCAGTTTCAATTTTAACATTTTGTAATCAGGTACGATGCATCTAAATATGACAATCTTTCGAATTAAGTTTTATTTAAGTTCTTATCGAATAATGTCCATATTCTTTGTTCATGCTTGGACTCATTAGTCATCGCATTCTGCAGCGATCCGGATAACCACTTGAATTTTTTTCCAAGATTTTGAGAACTGAAAGTTGAAAATAATTAATAAAAGGTTACTACATAAAATAACAACATTCAATACATTTTCGTTTAAAACTAAGAAAGTCGTTTAGGAAGATGAGCCTTAGGAGAATTCACATGATCAGGGAACTTTGGCACTTTGTGTCCAAATGCATGACATGTTTGCCCTTCGAACATGTTCTCTCATAAGATCCGCAATTTCTTAACAGCATACAAATTTAATAATACTTTTCCAATCGCACTAACCCCCGAATCTCTGCTCTTTGTTTCATTCATGACTGAGGGAGGGAGCTACTTAATCCTCCAAAATCTATTAGAGTGAAAAAACAAAACCTACACCTCTGTTTACCAAGTTAAATTGTTTCCCTGTTACTTAAGGAAGACACAACAAACAACTTTAGAAGAGCACAATCCTAGTAGACTGATTGTCTTCTTGCTTCTCTTCTTCCTACTCTCTGGTTTTGAGCTTCAGAGTGGACCCTTTTGACACGTTCTTTGCATCACCCCTATCACTCTTTCTAAGCTTTCGGCTAGAGACCTAGTCAGACACTTGCCCTTGTTACGTGATAGCAAGCAAAATAGATTATTCCACGTGGCTTGTCCCCACTCATTTTACTCACCATACTTCTTAATACTTTCCCCAAACTTCTTACTCGTTACAACTTTTTAGTCTACTGCCTTGTAACTTTTTTTATTTTCATCCATGGCTTTTGCACCCAATAAAAAAATATATCCATCACTTTTTTATGTCTTTATTAAGTGTCAATTTACTACTATTGGTAGTGGTTTTTGCTGAGATAATATGACTTTTCTTATATAAATCTTTACCACCATCCACTCAACTTTATAGATCCTTAGTAGATACTCCAAACCAACGTCCATGCACATGCTCTGATCTCAAATCCCGGAGTGAATTTTTGGCACACTTTTAACATTTGTTCTATTACACTTTTTTATTTTAAAATTTTGTTCTTATTTCAAAAGAAATTAAAACAAGAAAAAATTTGTTCTATTACAGTGACATAAATTATTTTTCACTTTATGATATTATGCTTTTTAAATCAATCTTCATTTATCATAAGACATGAATGTATCTATATATGTATATGTAAATAGTATTTTTTTATTAAATATTTTATATTAATCAATTGGTATTATTATCCGTCAATTAAGATATTTATTTAAACAAATGAAAGTAAAATAAATTTAATATAATATTAGATTTTAACTTAAAATAACGAGAATTGAGACATGCGAAATACAAAAATTTTAGATAAATTAAATTATTTTATTATGGAAACAGATAAAATTAATTAACTTTTAAGATATATATCTTATCTAAATAACAGACAAAATAAGACATTTTTTCATTAAAATTTGGCTCCATAAAAAAAACGCAGCATCAGCTATTAAACACTTAAAAATACTCTACCGTTGTGGAAACTGCTACGTATTCAACAACTACCGTTTTGAATTTGCGCCAATCATCAAGCAGTAACAGTCAATATTCAAGGGCTCACACCATCGTTATTTGTGCATAAAATTCAATAAACATTAAATTAAATTATAATTAATTAACATTAAGCATAGGTGATGTCTCTGTGTACAAGTATAACACGGAAATTGTGCCAGCATTTTTCACTTTATGTCGATCTCATAAACATGATTAATTATAGGTAACTAAAATTGCTTAATATGTAATTAATCATTTATGAGAGATTATTAAAATATATAATTTAGCAACGTTTTTTATATTTTATAAGTGATTAAAAATATTATTCTAATATAATTAACAATATTATGAAGTTATAAAAATATCTAATAATCATATATAATTATTATCAATACGAGATTAATAATATCTAAAAAGAGCGTGTAGTTGCATTTGGAGAGCACTGTTAGAAGGTGGACAAGTGGAAGCTGGTGATATTGCGAAAGATAAAGAAGCAGGAACTTACTGAAAAAGCATGTTTCTGGTCACAGCCAAACACTTCCCAACTCATCATCCTTCGTGACAAAGGAACATATTTTTATTATTTTCTAAATCTTGTTATTAGAACTTGGTCGTTTTCTTTTGTTCCAACTTTTCCCCTCTTTTCACTCTTCACCTTTTTGGTTTGGTTTTTGAATCTTCAACGCCTTTCCTCTGGTCTCAGCTCCTGTTCTTTCCCATGTCTTCTTGTTTTTAAAAGCATCGATTCATCCCAATATTCCAACAAACGCTCACTCTGCATTGCTTAATCACTCACTCTTTCATAATGGCCAAGGAACCTTCTCTATGTCTCTTGTTCCTCTCTTTTCTCTTTCTCTTCTCTTCCGGTGAGTTACTGCTTTCTTCTTCTCATACAAGTCAATAGTTAACACTTTCTTTGCTTTTGTTGCTGAATCTGAATCACTTTGCAGGTACTGCATCTACACCCTCTGTTGCTCCCGCATTCCTCCACAAAACCAAGATCTCCAAATCTGAGATTCGGCTTTCTGTTACTGATTACATGCTTTTGAAGACACTCATCGACACCAACCTGTCAGTTGATTTCTTCTTAAACGAAAGCCTGGTTGAAAATTTTGTTTCTTCAAAATCGTCTCCAGTGTCTTCGCTGAAAGTTCATCTTTTGGACATTCTTCCACAAGTGGACATCAGAAGCATCATTGTTAGATGTGGCAGTCAGTGTTTAGGCCGAGATGAGACGCCTTCACTCATTCGTGTTTTGAAATCAATTCATTCGTTTATCAGCAATCTTCAACTAGGGAGGGAAGTAAAAGTCTCAGTGGCATTTCCACTTTCATTCTTAGAGTATTTGAATGCTTCATATGAAAACGATCTTCTTAGGATTGTTGTGTTTCTAAAGAAAATAGATTCCTTTATCATGATAGAAGACACCATTGATGGGGAATCAGGCATTGTTCAGTCTGTTATTGAAAGAGCCACATTTGCTGCTTCTATTCTTCCTTGCAAAGATGTTCCTGTGGTTCTCACAATCAAGAGCCGTGATATTCCCTGTTCAATGGAATTAGCTCAATTTAGTGAATCAGTATCTAAATATCTTGAAGCAGGATCTCATGTTACAAAAAGAATAGTTGCATTGTATGCAGAAGTACAGACAACCAAAGGTTTTGTACTGGGAGATCTCAAAAGAGAGGAGGGAGATGACATACTTCCTTTGTTCCTAAGAGAAAAGCTAGGCCAAGTGCACATCAGAAGAGTTCTCCAAGACACAACCAACTTACCAAACACAGTTTCCCCCACAAATCCAACCCCACCTACACCAGTCATCTCACCTCCTGATACACCAACCATCATCACAGTTCCTTCCACCAATCCTGTCACAGTTTCCCCCACTAATCCAGGGGCAACACCTGTGACAGTTCCTTCGACTACACCACCTGTTCCCTTAGCCCCTACAAATCCAGCCAATCCAGGGGCTCAACCCGTTACCAACCCTGTGACCTCTTATCCATCCCCATCAGGAAATGGTCCTATCACAAATACCCTTTCTCCTCCTCCAAACACAAATGGTCAAGCCACAGGGGGGCAGAGTTGGTGTGTGGCAAAGACTGGAGTTTCAGAAGCTACTCTTCAATCAGCTCTGGACTATGCATGTGGAATGCAAAGTGTGGATTGTTCACAAATCCAGCAAGGTGGGAGTTGTTACAATCCAAATTCTCTACAAAACCATGCTTCTTTTGCCTTCAACAGCTACTACCAGAAGAATCCTGCGTCAACAAGCTGTGACTTTGGAGGCGCTGCAACTATAGTTAACACCAATCCAAGTAAGATCTTTGTAGTTTAATATCCTGTTTTTAAAGTTTGACGTATATATACAGTTACTCTAAAGATTAAATGATTAATTTATCCAGCATAATTGTCCTCATTTTAAGAAGATAGTAAGTTTTTGTCTCCATACATACGTAGAAGTTAAGTATTTAGTCCTATACATGTATAAAAGCAATGTTTTGATTTCCATTACTAATATGAGAAAATAGTTTTGACGGTGTAAAACTGCTACAAATTTTGTACTTAGTAATAAACCACAACAAAACACTGTTCATGGACTAAAACTTACAGTTTTCTCATATAATATCTAAATCTTAAATTGGAGACAACTTTAAGAATGAAATGAATAATTTAACCTTGGATAAAACATCTGTTGACGTATTCAATGAGAATTTACTTTATTATGGTAAAATTTTATCGGATGTTTGTGTAAATATTTTTTATACTAAAATTATGGTACTGTGTATGTGGAAGAGTATTTATTGGAAGAAGTTGTTCCTCTGAATAAATTTCAGTACTTCGAGAGATTAGTCTCTGTCTCTAGTTTTTTTTTTTTTTAGAATATATCCCAGGTTAAAAGAAATGTATGTAAATTAAACACTTTTTCATATTTTGTGATTCACAAAATTGAACATCATTTCTAAAGAACTCTGTTAAATTGTGACTAGGCTCGGGTTCTTGCATTTACCCATCATCTTCAGGGGGAGGCACATCCGGGTAAGTAAAATGACATGGTTTTCTTAGCTTCATCAAATCTTTTTGGAATCACTACGCCTACAAGATACTAATCGTGGTCCTTTATGATCCATCTTTTGCAGCTCTAATGGCTCACCTTCAGTTTTAGGGTCTCAAAGCCCTCCTGATTTAAATACCTCCAATTCAGCTCTGAGACCTTTTCTTGATTGTATGGTTCTGGTGGTGATATCGTTAGTCAGCGTAAGACTCACTATATAAGATTTCCACAAGAATCAGTAGTGAAGTTCAATACAGTTAGTGTTGGAATTAGTAATGTTGTAATATTACAAGCAGTGTACAGCTGTAAAACTGCAGAATGATAGTAGAATGAATAGAAGAAGTTAGACTACGTAATGATGGCAGCTTATGGTCTGGTTCAGGTACAAGAGTAGTATGTAATTCAGTTTTCATTGGTCAGAGTTTGTGTTGGAAATTCATTTGCATATAAATGAGGGGTTTACTATTTTGCAAAATAATTCACGTGGATAAATGGAGTTAGAATCCAGGTTGGTTAAGTCGTAGATGGTCATGAGAACAATTTTACATTATGAAAGAGTCTATTATGAGAGCTTGTGATAATGGAGAAGATTACTAGAGAGGTGTCACGTTTCATGTAATCATTTGTGTAAAGTAGCAATTATGATAGAGATATTGTTTGCAAATTTTAGGTCATATATAATATATAATTTAAATGTGTTAGGATTATTATTTATTAAGCCAAATAATAAAGTGATTTGATTAAATTAAAATTTTGGTTAAAAGTATATGTCATGAAAAAAAAATTGTATGGAGACCATAGAGTAATTTCTAATTTGATGAGGGGCAAAATTAGAAATACTAAAACTTAAGTAATTAACTTAATTCTGGTTATTTAAAGGGTTATGGTCTCCTCCTAAGAACACACAGAGAACATAAGTCTCAGTTCTCGTTCCTTTATTTTTATCTCCATTAAGAAAGAAAATTCAGAGGGAAAATAAAGGTGTTCTTCAGGTGGAAGATCATAAGATCAATATTGCTCTAAAAAAGACATCATCATTATGACTAATTTAGGTACGTTTTCGCATTCAATCTACAACATGTTTATAAGTATGGGATAATGTTTATGTTTGATTGTTAAAATGAAAATAATGATCATAATTATTAATTTTCTAACAATTGGTATCAGAGCTATCTATACTTGATTCATGTCTGTCTTAAGAAATATTTAAAAATTCAGATTCTGTTTAATTTATAAAATCTCAATTTTCATGAACCCTAAAATTTAAATTTGTGGTAACATTCCCAATCTGATTCTGCTCGCTGATGAAACCATGGAGGAGAACCCAATTTTTATCCGAAGAAATAATGTTTTAAGTTTCAATTTCTCTTATATTGAGTTCTCTGTTATCTTTGAATCTTTTGTTTTTTTGTTTTTTTTTTTTGGTTTTGTTTTCGCTTTCTTTTCATGGTGGATATGAATGAGTTTGGAATTGTGGGTGATGTTGGAGGAGTTCCCAACACAGAGGATCTTAGGCAATAGATGAATGTTTTCACAGGTGTGATTGTTCTTATTTTATTGCATTTATCCTTTGGGGTTTAAGGGAAGTTGATGTTAAATTTCCTGTTTAGGGTTTGAGTGATTACTGTTTAATCCCCTTTTAGGGTTTAGGTGATTGCATTGTTTCTTGAGCAGTGTGTTAAATAGGGTCAGAATTATCTCTGTTTCATTCCTAGTGTGATTCTAGGAAGGTGTTCATCCTTAGTGAGATTCTAATGAAGTGATTATCTTTTGAATTAATTTGCATTGTTAACTCTAAATAAATAAATATTAAATATTTGATTTTGTTATATAAATAAAATATTTAATTTTTTTTTGTAGTTTAATATTTTTTGTGAACAAATTGAGTCAAGAAGTCACCAAAGTAACCTCTCTTGAATTGGTAGTTCGTGAAAAATATTGAATGTTAGTATTTGTGTATATTCATGCGAGTATTAGTTGGCCCAAAAAAAGATTAATATTTGGCCGAATTGCATACACACTTGTAATGATAAACATGTGATAATTATAAGGATTTGCTTTGTCGATGATAAATTAATCCAAAGACTGGTTTGTTGTTGGATGTGCTTTATTGTCAATGTTTGATCATTACAATAAGATACCCCTAGCGAGTTAATATTACTCGTCCAAAGACTTGATATTGATGGTGCATTGGGTGTCTTGAGATGAGTTAAACCATTATTTGAATATATATATATATATATATATATATATATAATTATTTATTTTTATAATGTGAAAATAATTAGTTTGTTTCTTTTGTTCTTAATTCGAGTTACAATTGTTTTTATATCTGCTAATTTAAATTTTGTTTCGATCCTCTAAAGTATGTTTCCTACTTTGGTCTTTTCGAAGTCAATTTAGCGTCGAGTACTTAGTAACACTTGGTGGTTAGACTCATGTGCAACTACTAACATCAGTGTTTCTATGAAGGGTTGCCTAAGCTACCAGAAGCCAATTGATTCTGAAAGATGGATATATGTTGGAGATAGCAAATCGGTAGAGGTGGAAGCTATAAGACATTTTAAATTGTTATTGAGTACTGATTTTTATTTGGATTTGAAAGACACTTTTGTTGTGTCGTCATTTAGACGGAATTTGGTTTCAGTTTCTTATTTGGACAAATTAGGTTATTTGTGTTCATTTGGAAACAATAAGTTCAATTTGTCTTTTAATTCAGATATTGTTGGAATTGGTTCACTTTTGGCTTATGATAACATGTATTTAATTGATACTGTGGTCACCTATAATGAAACTCTTAATACAGAATCATGAGGTACTAAACGTAAAATTGATGATACTCACTTAGGAGCATTATGGCAAAGGCGTTTAGGTCACATATCTAAAAATAGAGTTGAACGACTTGTGTCAAATGGAATCTTAGAGTTCATTGACTTCACAAACTTTGATGTTTGTGTTGAAGGCATTAAGGGAAAACAGACTAGAGCGAAAAAATTAGGTGCATATAGAGCTATAGACGTCTTAGAGTTGATATATACAGACATTTTTGAGTCATTTCCTACACCTTCGTGGAATGGTCAACAATACTTTATATCATTCATAGACGATTACTCACGATATGCATACTTAGTCCTTATACATGAAAAGTCAATCTTTAGACGTGTTCAAAACATTTAAAGCTGAAGTTGAAAAACAATTCAACAAAAGAATTAAGTTTGTTAGGTCCGACTATGGTGGTGAGTACTATGGCAGATTTGACGGGTCAGGTGAACAACGTCCAGGACCTTTTGGCAGGTACCTAGAGGAGTGTGAAATTATCTCGCAGTATACCATGCCGAGATCACCTAGTATGAATGGTGTAATTGAAAGACGAAACCAGACTCTTAAAGATATGGTCAGGAGTATGATTTATCATTCCACCTTACTGGAGTCACTTTGGGGAGAGACACTAAAGACGACAACTTATATTCTAAACAGAGTATCAACTAAAGAAGCTACTAAAACACCTTATGAGCTTTGGACTGGGTGACAGCCTAGTTTGAAGCATTTCTATGTGTGGGGTTATCCAACTGAGGCAAGATCTTATAAGCCAAATGAAAAGAAATTAGACTCTTGAACAGTAAGTAGTTATTTTATTGGTTATACTGAAAGATGCAGTGGATATAAATTTTATGATCCCACATTAAAGACAATTTTTGAGATAGGAATTGTTACGTTCTTTGAGGATATTGAGTTTGGGGGAAGAATAAAATTAGGAATTTTGTCTTGAAGGAAGAATTGGTAACAATTCTAGAATCGATTCATACAGTTATTTTTGATAAAGTAAGTTCGGAACTTTCACAAGCATTGTTGATAAACCCCTTACTCAAGATGATTTGGTTATTCATGAAGAACAAACTCAAGCTCCTCAAGAACCTTGCATCATGAGTCAATAACTTTGTGGAGATTCACTAAAAAAAGAAGAAGTGTTATTTCAGATGATTACATGATATTTTTTAAGGAATATGAGGAAAACAATGATATGATGGAAGATGACCTAGTTAACTTTCGTCAAGCTATGCAAGATTCTAACTCTGAAAAGTGGATTGAAGTAATGAAGGAAGAGTATAAGTTCATGCAAGATAACAAGGTTTGTGAACTTGTCCCATTACCAGAAGATATGAAACACATTGGTTGCAAGTGGATATTTAAGACCAAACGAGATTCTAAAGGTAATGTGAAAAGGTGTAAGGCTCGTCTGGTAGCTAAGGGCTATACCCAAAAGGAAAGAATTGACTTTAAAGAGACTTTTTCTCCAGTTTCATTAAAAGACTCTTTTAGGACAATCATGACTCTTGTAGCACATTATGATTTGGAGCTTCATCAAATGGATGTCAATACAACATTTCTCAATAACAACATTGATGAGACAATTTATATGGTACAACCCGAAAATTTTGTGCAGAGAGATCCAAAGAATATGGTTTGCAAACTGACAAAATCCATTTATGGATTAAAACAAACATCTCATCAATGGTACTACAAATTTCATAAAGTAATTCTCTCATTTGGCTTCGAGATAAATATTGTTGATAATTGTGTGTATCACAAGTTTAAGAGGAGTAAGTATATTTTCCTGATTTTGTATGTTGATGACATTCTATTTGCTACTAATGATATAAGCATATTGCACGAAACCAAGAAATTTTTATTAAAGAATTTCGAAATGAAAGATCTTGGTGATGCCTCTTTTGTATTAGGAATTCAGATACACCGAGATCGATCTCGAGATATTTTAGGATTATCACAAAGGAGCTATATCGAAAAAAATTCTTAAAAGGTTTGACATACATGAATGTAAATCCGAGGATACTCCAATTGCTAAGGGAGACAAGTTTAGTCTCAATCAGTACCCAAAGGAGAATTTGGAAATTGAGAAAATGCAAAAAATTCCCTATGCATCAGCTGTAGGGAGTTTGATGTATGCCCAAGTATGTACGCGTCTAGACATAGCATATATAGTTGGAGTTCTAGGCAGATATTTAAGCAATCCAGGAATGGACCATTGGAAAGCAGCAAAATGGTCATTAAATATTTAAAGAGAATAAAAGATTATATCCTCACATAGAGGATGTCAGACCAGTTGGAGATCGTTGGGTTTTTTTACTCAGACTTTGTAGGATGTCAAGATAATTTGAAATCCACTTCAGGTTACATTTTCATGTTGGCAGGTGGTGCGGTTTCTTGGCGCAGTGTCAAGCAAACCCTTACAGCTTCATCCACTATGACAGCAGAATTTGTAGCATGTTATGAGACATCAAATCATGGAATGTTGCTGAGAAATTTTGTCACAGGACTGCAAATTGTGAAAGGCATTGAAATAACACTTAAGTTATATTGTGACAACAAATCAGCTGTATTGTATTCCAACAACAATAGGAGCTCGACTAAGTCAAAGCACATCGACATTAAGTACCTAGTTGTTAAGGAAAGAGTACAGAGTGGACAAATTTCTATAGAACAATTAGGGACAACCTCCATGATAGTAGATCCTCTAACTAAAAGACTTCCGCCCAAGGTCTTTCATGAGCATGTTGCTCACATGAGTGTTTTACAGTTTGAGAAATTTGAGGTTTATTGGAGTTAGTCATTTTCATATATTTATGTTCTATGTTTGATTTTATGTATGTATACATTGATTTTTTGGACATATTTGATTATCTAGAGATATGCGATTTTTCGTTCATTCATTACACTTTGTACATTAAGGTTATTATCTCGATCTCGATAAGTTAAAGTTTGGACCAGTTGAAAATAGACTTGTACAAATCACCTTCATGTAATTTTTCATGCTACACATTTCACGATGAATCCATGTCATTTGGTTATGACAGGATTAGTAATCATTGTTGGTTTTAGTTGCGATGATGCAATAAAAAACTGGTTTGGTTCTATATCCTGATATAATCAATGGACGGAACTTTTGGAGTATGCTAAAGGAATATAATGGTAATTTTGAGTTCATAAAGTCTAACACATTTGTAAGGTTGTAAGGACATATATATTCGTGACCAGTGGGAAATTGTTGACAAATTTTGGGTTATGTATATATATGATGCATAATTTAAATGTGTTAGAACCATTGTTTATTAAGGCAAATAATAAAGTGATCTGATTAAATTAAAATTTTGGCTAAAGACATATGTCATGAAAATAAAATTGTGTAGAGACCATAGAGTAATTTTTAATTTGATGAGAGACCAAATTAGAAATACTAAAACTTAAGTAATTAACCTAATTCTGGTTATTTAAAGGGTTATTGTCCCCTTTTGAGAACACACACAAAGTAAGCCTCGGTTCTCGTTCTTTTCTTTCTATCCCCATCAAGAAAGAAAATCCAAAGGAAAAATAAAAATGTTTTCGGGGTAGAAGATTAGAGGATCAATAGTACTCTAAAATGGATATCATCATTATGACTAATTCAATTACGTTTTTGCATTCAATTTATAATATATATATTAATATGAGATAATATTTATATTTGATAGTTAGAATCAAAATCACGGTTATAATTATTAGTTTTCTAATTGTTACTTCGAAGGTTTATTGGAAACCACTCCATAAGGCACCGAAGATGATCATAGTGGACTTCCCATCATCATTTGTCCTAGAGCATGCATGCTTTATTGGTTTTAAATCATCATACCCAGCAACATGCTTTCTATTGTCCATATTCAGAAACTCTTATTTTTAAATGAGTCACATTTTTTTTTTTAATTTTTTATAGGATGAGTTACTATTTGTTAAGCTAATGTTGATCGTGCATTATCATTACATAAATTGTCCTGTTTGCCGAAATCCCTTTCCTCTGTTTCTCTCATAATTGAGTTTAATAGAAAAATGTCTTTTTTTTTAATTGAAGAACTGTCAAAAATAGAAACTGAATAATTGGTGAAACTGTCAAAATTTGGAAAAACTGAATAAAAATTTGGATTAAAGTGAGTCAACAAAATAAAATATAATTTTATTTTTTCTTAAAAACAAAATGGAAATTATTTATTATTTTCTTAAAGAAAACTTGTTAGTTTCAAATAATATTATTATCTATTGCTGAACCTTAAATCTAATTATTATGATATATTTGATTTTTATATGTATTTTAAACGTTAAAAACTTATAAAATATGTTAAATTTAGGTTTTAATATTTTTAAATTTCTCTAGTTTTATTTTATTTATTATTTAATTATTTATATTCTTATTTTATTAATATCAATCCAACTTATGTCTTGATTGGTTTACATTGAATTTTTAAAACGTACCTATTTATACACAAAATTATGCATCTCTTCAATAATATCCTCCTCTCATTAAAACGTACCTATATATATATATATATATATATATATATATATATATATATATATATATATATATAATCTTAACTTAAAAATAATTATTTTACATATATTTATGAAAATAAAAATAGGTTTTGATATAATTTTGCAATTTTTTATTTAATCATTTTCTTTTAATGATATTAATTGCATCATTTATCATAATTTTCACTTTTTAAATTTATTTTTCTTATTAATTAATGAGAAGTTAAACAAAACAAAATTACTTAGAATATCTCCACCTGAAACAATGAGAGTTTTTAATAAGAGTTGTTTGAGAATAAATATAAATATTTTATTATGAGTTCCACACAAGAGTTGTTTAAAATTTGGTGAGAGTTGCTTGTACAAACAACTTTCTTCTAATCTTAAGCAATTTTCTCTAATTTTAATCAACTATCATGTGGGATTCATAATAAAATATTCATTTTTATTCTTAAACAACTATTGTTAGGAATTCTCATTGGAAATGATCTTACTAATAAGAATTATTTAAAAATAAAAATGATTATTTTATTATAAATACCACATTGTTTAAAATTAGAAAAAATTATTTATATAAATAATTATAATTAAAATTAAGACTCATAATAAAATATTTATATTTATTTTTAAGTAATTTTTATTAAAAATTTCCTTTAGAGATATCTTAAATATGTTATTAGTTGATACAAATTATAGTTATAATTAATATATCAATGTAAATAAAGGACAATTTATAATTCACTTAAAATTTCATAAAAATAAATATCTTAATTTTTTTAAAACTTATATAATTGATAATAAATAATTAATAAAATATTGAATTTTATCAATAATATTTAAATCAAAATAGTTTTTTTTTTAAATTGAAAAATATTTAGAAATATAAAAAGTAGATGATAATGAACTCTAAATACATAATATTATTATATTTAAATATAGTAAATAGTTTTGTAAGATTTTAATCATGCTATTTTTTAAGAATGACAAATAAAAAAAATCTAACAAAATCTTAATTTTAATCTATCCACTATTTTTTTTATCAATATAATTTTGAACATCCCTAAATAGAACAAGTGTTTTTTTTTTCATCATATACATTACGAGTTATAATTTAATGGTATGTTTAGGAAATCTTTCATTTCCAGCGCGAGGTTTAAATTCAATAATTTTTAAAAATATTTAATAAAATGTAACTGCCATACAGCAGGAAAATTGAATACTGATTAACATACTATATAGTAATTTGTGGTTCTTAACTAAGTAATTATAGTTTTCTAAATCCTATAATAATAGAAAGAGTGCACAATCAGCGGAATAGTGAAGCGTTTTTTTATCTAAAAATGAGAATGAGTTACTTTCAAAATTACATCTATCTTAAAGGTGATTCATTACCATATCTTCATCTTGGTCTAGTTTCATCAATAACAACACTAATAGTTGATGAATCAGAATCATGTAGCATATCCAGCAGAAAACATGAGAATAAGAAAACCTTTTCAGAACACTGACACATGGTGTAAATATAAACCCAAAATCAGAATGAATGAATATATGAATTATGTGGTGTATCATCATCATTAGTGTAAAAGTAGGAGCCCATTTTGTTGGAATTGAGGGTTATGATTCTTAAAATTTTATTATTTTTGTGTAATTAATATTTTTTATCTCTTAAATTTAATAAATATTTTTTATATTTATAATTTTATTTTTTTTAATTTTTCTTAATTATATAACTCTTATATAATTTATGATTTTATTTTTCTGAAATTTAATAATTATTTAATATATTTAAATATATATTTATAATTTTATTCTTTTATTTTTTAATTTTTTATTTATTTATTATTTATTAATAATATATGATCTATGTAAAATGTTTTTAGGAACATCACCTCATATTGTATCATCATTATATTTAACTTCATCGTTGGAATTGGGGTGGAATAAAACCTTACTTGATACCAACAAGTAAATATCCATTAAGAAATTTAGCAACCATGCCACGTCCTAAATCTTTTATCTCCCCAACCGAACGCATACACCTGGACTCCAACTCACACGCGCCCCAATAAAAAATACGGGTCATGGGGATAATCACCGGGTTGCCCCGACCAATTCAATGACTGGACTGGAATTCACTCTGCTCACTTATACACCCACCAACAAGGGTAAATCAGTCAATTCCCTTTACCGCATTCTTCCACTTTCTCTCCCACCAACCATAAAATCCCAGCATCCTACCCTCAGGCACCATCCGCTTCTTATTCTTCAACTCCGAATCTGCCGTGTTACTCGCCGTCTCGCGCGCACGAGACAAAAGAAAAGACTGAAGTCGCCGTCGACTCACTGTCAGTGTAAATCCGGAATTGAAAGGGATTAGGATATTGAAAAGATCGGCGTCATGGGCGGAGATGGAGCGACAGCGAACGCGGAAGTGCAGTACGCCACGGCAAAGATTTCGGTGTGGTGGGACATCGAAAACTGCCACGTTCCCAAGGGTTCGGATCCGCACGTGATCGCGCAGAACATCAGCTCCACGCTGGTCCGCATGAACTACTGTGGCCCCGTCTCCATCTCCGCCTACGGCGACACCACGCGCATCCCCGCCTCTGTACAGCACGCGCTCTCCAGCACCGGAATCTCCCTCAACCACGTCCCCGCCGGTCGGTAACTATCCTTCCTCTCGTATTTAGACTTTATATGCCTTCAGTCGCTACCTCACACAAATCATGTCTATTGTGAATTTTATTTGCTCTGTATGTGCTGAGAAGCTTGAAACTTCTTCCTTTTTATTTTTTTTTAAATTGATGTAGTAATATTTGATAATAGGCGTGAAAGACGCAATTGACAAGAAGATTCTTGTTGATATGCTATTCTGGGCAGTGGACAATCCCGCACCCGCTAATTATTTACTAATTTCGGGTGATCGAGAATTCTCAAATGCTCTCCATCAACTTCGGCTGAGGAGATATAATATTCTTCTTGCGCAACCTCAGAAGGCATCAGCACCCTTGGTTGCTGCTGCCAAGAGTGTATGGCTTTGGACTAGCCTTTTAGCTGGAGGACCTCCTCTTTCTAATGGTGAATCACAACAACTTGGTAATGGTGGCCTTAGCCATGTATCATCTTCTGACTCCTTACAAATTCCGATTACAAGTGCTGCTCAAATGCAGCAACTGGTGGAATCCTATTCTGAACTTGATGTAGGAAATTCAAAAATCCCAAATGGAGGAAGGGGATTCGACTCTAGATTTCAGGGTAAACCTAATTGGAGAAACCCGAGTCAATCAAATGCACCCAGAGCCATGAATCCACCACCACCTGGACTTCAAGATAATCGTAATCGTAATAATATAAACTCTTATCGACCTGGCAACTTTAATCCAAATGTTCCGCTGAGTGGATCTGCTACAAATTATGTTCATGGCAATACTGATCAGTTATGGAGCAATAACAGTAATCTACAGGGCAATCATCAAGTTCCTTATTCCCAGCCATTAGGACCAAACAACTTCCCATTGCAACTTCCTTTTGCTCCTAGTAATTCATATACTCCAAATTCCCATACTTTTGCAACTTCAATGGTGCCACCTAGGACTGGTGGTCCCAATTTCAACTCAGGGTCACATACCAAAGTGCCAGATATTGGTAATCTGAATATTTCTGGATATCCTAATGGTGTTCATAACCCACCTACTATTCCACAACGGAATGGAGAGTTGAAACAGAATCCTAATAGTAGTGCCCCACATCTTTTAAGATCAATTGATGAAAAAAATGGACATATGGTACATAACAGTTTCACACAACAATTACATCAAAGTTATCAACATGGTCCAGAATATCAACCAACTCCCTCGGCAGCAATGGGTAATAATAACCCTTCTGGTAATGGTATGTGGGGTTCTCCAGGATGTCCTAAACCTTCTGAGTATGTACAGGGCCTAATAGGAGTTGTTTTACTTGCCTTAAACTCACTAAAAAATGCCAAGATGATGCCAACTGAGGCAAATATAACTGATTGCATCCGGTTTGGAGATCCCAAGCACCGCAATACTGATGTTAAGAAGGCTCTTGAAAGTGCTATTGAACAGAATATGGTGGTGAAACAGAATTTAGGTGCTTTGCCATTGTATGTTGGTAAGAATGATAAACTTTGGAAATGCGTTAATCCTCTAGGTGGTAATCCTAAGCAGCACTCAAAAGAAACATGGGATGAAATTGAAAAGTTTTTAACAACTCCTGCTGGAAGATCAGCAATAATGGCTACACAGTGCAAGTAAGCATATTGTGATGTCTTCAAAACTTGTAAGCTTATTTTTACCTTTTCAAACTTGTCTTAGTCATCTAATATGTCTTTGTTTTCATCTCTAGGTATGAAGCAGGTATTGTGATTAAGAATATGTGCTTTAAAGATCTCTCTTTGGGTGATGTTTTTCAGATATTGAACATGTTAATTACCCATAAAAAATGGATTGCACATCATCCATCTGGTTGGCAACCACTTAACATTGCTCTTCCTGAGACAAACCCTGGTTTAGGGGTTGTAAGTGGAACATAACTACATCCTGATTATGGTAATGGAAAGGCACCCAGAGAAAACTCGATGATGAATATAGGACGAGCCAGTTGGACTAGGAATTTTGATGGAATAATTCTCTCTTTCCTGTCTGAATCAAAAGGTAGGTAATAATGGTGAACTATAGTACAAAAAGCATCTTGCGTGTTTATGGTTATTGTTAAAGCCTCTAGCTGGTCTTGATGGAGATATGAAAGCAGCTTTTGGAAGATATTTGAAATTAACCAAACACTAAGTTTTGTGTGGTTGTTGACGTTTCTACGATGACCTGCTATGCATTGCAATGGATACATCTTGGAATTAGTATGACTTCTTTTGTCCTGAGCTTCTACGCAATTTTTATCTTCCTACAGATTTATTTTCCTTGGAGACTGCCTTATTAGGCTGAACTCTTCGGATCCTTTTATTGATGTATTTTAAATGGTGTCCGGGAGATATTGACTAAGTATCTGTTTTGCACTTCTGCTGGATATTGATGGACCTTTGAGCTAGTTGGGTAAACCATCCTCAATGCTGTTTGTTTATCATTGGGAAAGTGATCTATCTACTCAATCAAATTCTTCAGGGTGAACTGTGGAATGCGAGTCCTGAAGCTGTTGTTGTATTGGCTTTTGTTTTCGTTGGTGGTTGCATGTCTTCGAAATGCTACAGGAAGTTAAACCACCGGACAGGGAACTCTTAATTTGCACAAAATTGATTCTGCATGAAGCTCTTGATTTGTTATCTCGAGAAATACTCGGTATTTTTACGATCTGGGAATTTGACTATGAAATTCACGTTATGAAGTACTCAAAATGAATCAAGATGGTGAAAATGATGGACATTCCACTGCATGTCATGCTGATGGTGCCTACAGAGTTGTGATATTTATTATTCATCTGGATTAGTTTTTGGATACCTGGCTCAGTACGCAGAATTTAGTAATTCGGTGAGGAAATTAATCTGGTCTTGCCACTTTCTATTGCCTTGTAATGTTATCCGAATTTAAATTTCCATCGTATCATATTGTTAAATTATATGCCTTCAGTTTTTTGACTTATATTTTCACTTCTGTTGGTTGGAATCCATACGGGTGGGGGTGGATGTCCTTATGACTGGAGCAGGGTTCAATTTGTGTTTAATCTGATTAAACTTTCTCAATCTTTGGAATAGTGTGACTTATGTCCACTGGTGTTGGCTCAAAGCGCAAACCAGCTGTACATAAACACAGACTTGGATTTGGATTTATGCAGCCATCGAGTAATGTATCGTCCCATTATCTTTTAATGTAGAGTACATTCTTGGCTTTAGATTTGATGTGTGGATAAGGAATTGGATGGAGTTTCGATGCTGCACCACCCCCAAAATATCATAAACCCTAGCTTTTTAGAGACGCTCAATCTGTACTTTAAGTTAATTAGAGGCATGATTTGGTTTGGCTTAATAAAAAAACTTGTAAATTTGAAGGGCATTTGTGATTTTAAGATTTTTTATTTACGTAAGAAAGATTTGGTTTGATTGAATAAACCTCATGAGATTTTTTAAAACTTGGAGAACCAGAAGAAAATGTATCCAATTTTACCCAAAATTTTGAGGGATTGAAAGATATTTAAAGCAAAATAAAAATTAAAAAACAGATTCTACTTTGTATTTCCATTCTATTTATAAGGAAAAACATTAAATTGGTTCACATAATATTCTGAAGTTACATCGAATGACTAATTTGTGTTAACAATTTTATGGTTAAACGAACACTAACGGTTTTGTGCTGTAGCAATGATCTTGAGGTTACTATGTAGTTTCAGAACAGGTCTTATAATCAATACAGCGAAAAAGGTTGGTATTTTTAAAGCAAAATCATTTCAAATAAAAAAAAACTGTTTTAGGTTATTTTACTTTCATTTTTTTTTAATGTTGGTTGCATCTACATGTGCTTGGTTTTTTGTCGTTGATATTTTTTCATAAAAATAAAGACCGATAAAATTACGTTTCGTAGGATTAATTTTTTTATTTCTTTCTTTGAAAATACAAGTAAATTTTAAAATATTGTGTGAATATTATAAAATATTATTTGTGTATATAATTCTCTTGTCTTAGAATTACCTTAAAAATCAGTCAAGAATAAATATATTTGGATGAAAAAATAGAGTAGAATAAGTTAATGTAAAATGTCAAACATCAGGCATTTTTTTTTTGGATTTATAGATTATTGTTTGTTTGATCAGTTCACAAATATTTTAATTTTTTATTAACAAATATTCAATTTGTTTTTAATATTTTATAATAATTAGTTGTATGAATAACATTGACCTAGATAATTAACAATGGAGCGTATTCTAAGTATAAAAGCGTATCGAGTAAAGATAACAAACAGAGGAGTTGGTCTGAAACCAATTAAGAAATTCCAATTCAAAACATCTGTTTAGTAATATCCCGCTCTCTAAGAATAGGGTTTAATGCAGTTAGCCAACACCGCCACCACCACCACCACCGAAGCACCAGAATTTTGTGTATGTGATCATCAACAAACACCCATTCTCATAATCACAATCACAATCACAATCATATTCATCAAAGTTTGTCATTCTCAACACCATCATATATCATGGACATGTACTATTCATGCATTTAAATTACTAGCCTTCTGGAAGCAATCATGAGCAAAATGGACGATAGCTCCAAGGAAAGGGAAAGGTTGATTTTAAACATAGTGATCATAGTGGTATCCATGATCGTGATTGCATTGCTCACCTTCTCTATTGTTGCACGCATAGATGGTCGCGAACAAGATGCAGGGAATCTAAAGTCTCTTCTTTCTATTTGCTCTAAAACAGAGGAACCAGATTGTTGTTTCCGTGTGTTGAAACACGTAGGTGACAGAGCCACGATTCTGAATTATGTGAAAGCTGCCATTAATGCAACCCTAGCTGAATTACTTGTGGTGATTAGGCCTAAACCTCGTCTTGAAATGAGCCTCACGCGTCTGCAGAGACAGTCATATGAAGATTGTTTGGAGCTATTGAGTTTGGGACAGGAAGAACTAGAATCTCTGTATGCGACGACAAATTCTTATACAGAGTTGTGCAAACTAAACCTTGATGATGTGTTGAACAGCCTAAGCGCTGTAATCTCATATCAACACACTTGTTCTGATGAATTAATGCGAACAAATAACTATGAGATTTTGGGATATTCCTTGGAGGTGCCAATTGTTCTTACAAGGATAACCTTAGCCATTTTTAATAATTTTTCAGAGAGGCCTTACAGTAGAGAAAGACAAGGACTAACTCAAAACACAGAGCGCAAAATGATAGAGTCTGAAGGAGATGAGTGTGGGATGAGGGCAATAAGTATAGTCGTGGCTCAAGATGGAAGTGGTAATTTCTCAACCATAGCTAACTCCCTGGATGCATGTCCAAACAATAGCAAGTGTGGATGTATTATTTACGTGAAAAAAGGTAAATACGAGGAGAGGGTTGTGATTCCTAAGAATGTAAGCCATTTGTTAATGTATGGTGATGGGCCTGAGAACACCATTGTCGTTGGTATCAACACAACACACTCCAATACTGTCACAACATCCTTTCGAGCAGCTACTTTCGGTAAGTTCCTCAACATTAATAATGTCTTTTAATACTATATTAATAAAATTGTTTATTAAAGGTATATTTTTCGTACCCAAATTTATAATTTTCTTTGAATATTACGATGAACTTTTGATTAAAAAGAAATAAATAGGTTGAGGACATAATAATAATAAACATTCATTCAATACTTTTATTTATTAATAAAATAATAATTTTTAATTAATTTTATTTTAAATCAACCACTTTATAAATATAATATTAATAATGAAAGTTGTTCAACGGAATTTTATTTTATTTTTTCAAAATATCATATCTCTTTTGATTACTGTGTCTGTAAGCACTGTATGGTCATATGTAATTCTTACTTTGCCTTCAACACTCATTAATCTTGGTTCTAAATTTGGATGGTACGAAGAAGCAAGCGATGGTAAACATGATATTTTGTTTAAATTTTTCTCTTGCGAAATGCAGTGGTGATGGGGAAAGGATTCATCTGCAAAGGCATGGGTTTCACTGCCCCAGAAGGTATTGCAGGAGCACCAGCACTCCTTGTTCTTTCTGATCAAGCAGCATTCTTCAACTGCAAAATTGATGGTAAAGAAGGCAGCTTGTATGCAGTAGCCCAACGCCAATTCTACCGAGACTGTGAGATTCTTGGCAGTGTGGACATCATCAAGGGAGACTCTGCAACTGTAGCTCAGAACTCAAAAATCATTGTGAAGGCTCAAAATTCTTCTGATTTTGTTTTAAGGAGAAATGTTGTGAGTGCTCAATCCAGGTTGGACAGGTATCAAACGACAGGGCTTGTGATCCAGAACTGCACCATCACAGCACAGGGAGAAATCATGAACAATCTTACTGCTACCACTTACTTGGGATCCCCATATAGTGCATACTCAAGAACTATCATTATGGAATCATTTCTAGGAGATGTGATACATCCAAAAGGTTGGTGTAAATGGAGTGACAACTATGGCATAAAAACAGGAATCTTTCGGGAGTTTGAAAATAGAGGGCCCGGGGCAAGAACTGATGGAAGGGTAAGGTGGAATGGCTACAGAACAATCTTTGAGAGAGCCCAAATGGTTGATTACACAGTTAGTGAGTTTATTCAGGGAGACCAATGGTTGCAAAATACAGGCATTCCGCATGAATCTGGGTTTTTTGTACAGAAATAGGAAATAGAACCCTTAGTTTGCCTTTTTGATTATCATCTACAAACTTTACCATATTCATGGACTTTTCCTACCTGAGAAAAGGAAAATGATAAGATTGAAAACAATAATTTATGTTCATGTAATTTATTTTTCAATGAAAAGTGTTCATCACTCATCTCTCTCTGTTAATGTGATCCATTTTCAAAGAAATTTTTGAAAGATCAAGTTAAGAAAAAGTTCAATTTTAGCACCTCTAATCATTAATAAACTTGATGTGGTCCAATCAGATCTTAGTAGCCATCAACTATGCTTTTGTTTTATAACGGGGGAGAAGATCTTGGAGTGCGAGATGTGGGGCATCTTCATCCACGAAGAGCAATATAATATGTGATTGTGGAGAAATGGACATAACAAATAGTCAAATACCGTGCTAAGTTTCTAACTGATCTCGTTTTACAGAGTAAAGTGTAGAAAAACCAAAAACTGAGCTCATTTAATCATTATAGACAAAAAATTTTGGTAATTGCAGTTCTTCCCTTCTAAAACAATTGTGTCTAGTTTCATTCTGGAGACAAACTTCACAGTCGGTGAAAATAAATTTGACAAGTATCTGTAGCTTATGGGTTAAACCCACGAGTTATCTCATGGTTGACATCATCACACAAGTGGATCATCTCCATTTGTTGGGATTGCTATTGGCAGTGAAACCTCCAGTGGAGTGGAGAATGCACAAGTTTGAACACATCCACAATCAACCTTTACAGAAACATTTTTTATCCCCAAAAGAATTACATGCAATCAAATTGTGAATTTTTTTTTTTTTTAACCAAAGGTAATGCCGGCTGGCCCGGGATTACTCGTCTATGTCAGCAATTACGTATCCCTCGACACATAAGGTTAATTCCACTCCACAACACAATAATGTCAAATATGAGCAGTAGACAATCCAATAAAATTTGCATAATCACACGAGCTTAACCTTCATACGGGACAGAAAACTGTTTTCATTACTTATACAGTAGATAGACTTTAAAATAACATTACCATTAATAAAAATAAAATCAGGGAACATTTAGTTAAATTCAACAAATCATTATCAGCGACATAATGTGCATGTCTGATTTCCCTTTCCCTTTGATAACGCTGGTATTATCAAAATTTCAAGTCTAAATCGTATAAACGACAAAAAGAACTAACAATTTGCTTCCATTAAACGAGCATCCAACTTTTCTGCTGTGCAACCAAACACCGAACCATGTTCTTCTTCATATGTCGTGAGTTCTGCAAATCACTATCACCTTATAAATCATATCTATAGATGCAATCTTCGAATCCGTACTTTTTAAACAACGAAATACAATAAATCACCCGTACCTCTACCAACATCCTCGAGGCCTAGTTCACGATAAAGCCAATCAAATCCCCATCATCAAAACATAATCCATCTCTTTAGCTTACCGAAACTTAAACAACCCTGTTCCCCCATATACCCTGTTCCCCCATATACGATTTGCAACACAACAGAACCCACAGAAACAGAGCGCAGCACAATCACCAAACCAAATCCCTCTCTATCATAAACCTCTAATATTGGAGGTGCAGATTAGATTCATGGCATGAAGGGTGGTGATGATGATTGCCAATAGGGCTTCTTATTGGAAAAGGGAGCCCATAGTGCATGATATGCGTATGTGATTTTGGTTTTGGTATGGGGGGCCTACACAAATGGAGTAGGGAGTTTTATGATTATGCAACTTTGGTACTCGGACATGTTCGTGAGTAATAGGAATACTTGAAAAATAAAAATGTCATAATGATATTTAAAGGGCAGATATGATTGATAAGAAAATTGACCAACTAAGAAGTTTTTTGTGAACTAGACATATCCTTAAAGGTACTTAAAATTAAATTAGTAACAACAACAAAAAGTCATAAATTATTGTCATACTAGGGGGAAAATATGGTACTCTGCTGATGAAAATATTTGTATTAAAAGGACACGAAACTAAGTAAAAGCAATGAAAGATTAATTATAAATATCACTCTTATAGATTATGGAAAAGTTTTTATATGAACCTCAATAAGTTTACTTCAATTAAACATATGATCATGATTATATACAAGGTATTTCCATCGATCTCAACATTGAAGCTACTCCTAAGGAATTCTCCGCAGCAAAGCTAACATTAGCAATTGCTGTAGGTTCTTAGCAAAACCTGCAGTCTATGGTACCGAAGCCATCACAACTAGTCAAGCTTGCAATCAATAGCTTTTATTCATCAGAAAGACATTAGTGACACCTCTCAACTGCAAATAAAAAAGAATATCACTTTAATAAGAATAATACCAAAATAACACAACTAGAAGAATACTAACAAAAAAATTAAAACAACTCACTAAAATGCTTTGGTTAAACATAAAATATCACCTGACTGTGAACAGTTTTTGTTCTGGAATAAGAGTGAGGTGTCCTTTAGGGTTTTTCCCCCTGCCCTTTTATCTTCCCATCTCCATTAGGTCTTAGTTTGTTTTTATTGTTTCCGTCTTTATCGGCCCCGATATTGCCTTATTCCCAACTACCTCTATACCTCAGGCCCATTAGATAATGGTTAACTCCATCTTCCCCTATGGACCTATTTAGCCCGCTTTACTAATACCTAGATTTAGGCTCCACCGGACCCAATCTCTATGCACATACCACAGCCCCCAAGTCTTAAATTAGAAAAATATTTCTAATGCGAAGACTAGAAACCGAAATAAACGTCGAATACATTTCATCCCTTAATATTTCATAATATAATTGCAAAGTTCAACCACTTAAAAGGAATAAACAACCATTAAAAATCAGACTTACAGTGACCGTCGTCTTGACGTAGAGTATGAAAATTGCTTCGCGAGTACTTGAATTTAGATGAAGATTGACCTGCTTTTACTCGTACTCCAATTTAGATCGCGTTTCGATCTTAGTTCGCATTCCAAACATAATTCGCATTTTGAGCATAGGTCGCATTCCGACCATAGTACGCATTTCGTCCATAGCTCGCATTCTGAGCATAGTGCGCATTTCGCACATAACTCGCATTCCGAGCATAGGTCGCATTTCGATCATAGTGCGCATTTCGCACATAGCTCGCATTCCGAGCATAGGTCGCATTTCGACCATAGTGCGCATTTCGCACATAGGTTGCATTCCGAGCATAGGTCGCATTTCGACCATAGTGCACATTTCGCACATAGCTCACATTCCGAGCATTGCAATTTTGTGTAATGAGTTGGAAATTAACTGCACCTCTTCAAGGTCCATAAAACCTTGATGTCTCTTCCTGAATGTCTCCAAAAGTTCATCCCTAATAGACAAAATCAATTGCTCTACGTGGTTCTTAAGAAACCTAATTGTTGAGCTCCTAGCTTCCTGAACCCAATTATCAAGGTCAGAACTTCCCACCAATCTACTATGCCGCAAGAGCCAAATGGAGCATACTGACAGCCCAACTGCACCACATGTATAACGGATCCAATATTGAGTCATTTTCCTTGGCTTTCTATGTTTGATGACAAGAAATGATATGTATGCATCCAGCTTGTCTAAATTTTGATAAACTAGATTGATAGCATCTGTTATTTCACAATCTGTCCACGGAGATCCCTCCTGATTTATTTTTGGCAACTTCTCAAATAGCAGAGGGATTGAATAGCTCCCATCGACAGAAGAATCACTCTGACGTGTTGCATGTAGATGTCCAATTGAAGTTTCTAATATTGAAAACAAATCATTAATTGTAACTAACGAGGGCAGCTTCGTCTCTGGATCTGCCACTAACTCCTCTCCAATTGTATCAACTTCCATATAAACCTGAGCATGGAGTTTCAACTTTGAAGAAATATCAGAGAATTGATAGCATATTGACCTTTAACAAAGTGAAGTCGATAAAGCAATTATTCCATATTTCTAATTTTCTATTTCTACAGTTGTGTTCAAAGGAGTTTGATGGGCATGCCAGAATAAATGAATCCCACATCTTCTAGTAAACAGTTTTCCTGTCAAACATATACTCATAATCCTCCGAAGGCCTATTAAAGAAATTGCCCTAAAGGCATCAATAACAGTGTCTCAGCCAGGAAAAAAGGGGGGAAAGTACCCAAAGACAAAACTAGGGTCATTCCGTAAAGAGCAGCAGCTGCTAAAGAAAACATGTAAGATATAGCATCACCTTCATAATCATTCAGTCATTCCAAAATTTCTCTTCTACAAATATGAAGATTAATAAACCAAACATAATCATACAATAACAAATAAGTATTCACCAATAAGCAAGCTTGACAATGAAAGACAGGCAAATCATTATATTGTAATTATGAAAGACTATTGTGATTCAAACATTAGGAGACAACTAATCAGACAAAGCAAACCTGAGCCAAAAATGTGGCAAGTGAATATCTTAAGCAACTCAAAACAGCTACTCTCTCATCGATAAAATCAGATGCAGATTGACACAGACTCTGTGTGGACGAACCCTGGGCAGTGAGTCCACGCAACAACTTAACTGTTTCATCAATAAAAGCCCTTGGACCCCTCTCAAAAATCATGAAACGCGCATTCTCAGAATCTGACCTCTTAGCTCTAAACTGCCAGAACTACAGATTCTTTTGAATGCTATGCAAATTTATCAAAACACATTCCAGTATACCCTCCACAAGACCATGCGCTCTTGATCTCTTGGTAATGAGCATCTTCTTGCGAATTTCGACTTGGCGCTCTTTGCGTTTGTACTCTTGTCTAATCTTCTTCTTGTCGGCTTCGACCAACTATAACTTCTAGATATTGAATTCCTCTTCGGCGGAGACAGAGATCTCGTTAGCTTTTTCCTCTGCTTCCTGGCGGATGAACCGCACCATCTGCTGGATTTGCCTAGAGACACCTGCGTCGTTCATTTTCGGAAACGAAAAACCGGAAACTTACTCGATTTTTTGAAACGAATCACTGCACCACTACCACATCCCAAGATCTTTTGCAAAGATAAAGTTTATAAAGTGATCTTGATTGTTTCGGTTGTTGGTACAAGTCACCATGATTGTTTTGAACGTGGAGTAGGAAAAGTTTTACCTGTTCCACGGTGGGCGCCAATGTTTTGGAATAAGAGTGAGGTCTCCTTTAGGGTTTTTCCCCCTGCCCTTTTATCTTCCCATCTCCATTAGGTCTTAGTTTGTTTTTATTGTTTCCGTCTTTATCGGCCCCGATAATGCCTTATTCCCAACTACCTCTATACCTCGAGCCCATTAGGTAATGGTTAACTCCATCTTCCTCTACGGACCTATTTAGCCCGCTTTACTAATACCTAGATTTGGACTCCACCGGACCCAATCTCTATGCACATACCAGTTTTAAAAGAATGTTTTGCCTATAACTTAAATAATGTTCTGAAACCTCAATATGCGTTTTACATACTAGTGGTACCAATCAAAGTGAACCTTTGCTGGCTTTTTCCTGAGGTTAAAAGTACAAAACTATATAATAACATGGAATAGCAACATTTTTCAGAAATGGCTTATGATTTATGAAGGAAATGTTGATTTTCCTTTAGTTGAGTTACTTGTTCCAGTGAGAAGTATTGATTTCAATGGACAAGTACAGAACAAAAGATTCCTATGGCAAAAGTTACCGTCTGCAAAGAAAAAGATGCGAAGAAAAATCACAGAAGAGAATAGCACCAATCGGACATGGTCACAATAAACATTATTATCAATATCAAACTAATGTATCCCGGTGCCTAGGGCTCTTTGATAATGCGAAGTTAGGTATCAGATCAAGGTGAAATTAGGAAATATGATAAAAGAAAAAATTAGAGATTCAAAACCTTTTTTTAAGGTATTTAAATTTAATAATAGATGAAGACAATTTTTAATAAGATGTTACAAATTTCCAATTATTTATGTAAAGCAATGTAAATCAATGATACTTTCAATCCAGTTATCCAAGCAATATCACTCCAACAAATAGACTACAAATGAACAAACTGCATTGATGCTGCGATTCTGCAGAAACAAAACTTTTAATAACATGTGCAATGGATTTCAGTGTCTGCCAGTGTTAGATACTTCTATTTATATTTACAATGACATTTTCAAAGGAATTAGCACCACATTAGGGCACAATCCCCAGCTTTACTGCAGTCACATCCAATGCAAAGTCGACATTCACAGACATTTATTGTTAAAAAAATGAAGTACCGTTCAAAGGATGTTAGACTAAACCTCTTCAATCCGAAAGATCAGCACAAGTGAACCCATTTTGCACAAGTTGGTTAACGGCGTCCCTGAACTTGTAATAGTCATCAACTTTGTTATACACTTGATGAGAAATTCTCGCATACCCAGTAACCACCCCAACTTCCCCTTCTCTTGGCGGCCGATAATATAACGGAACCTCAACCGCAAAAGCATCCCTCAAATGTGTCCTCAACTTGAGAGCATCAGAATCGCTTCCAATCCCCAAACAAGGAGGCAAGCCAACCATAACCATGCTAGCACACATATCCGCCGGACTCCCGAGATGAGTCCCCCAAGCCTTCGCCAGCATCTCCCCCATCTCCATAACAGCCTCATGATTCCTCTTCTTGATCCCCTCAATACCTCCTTCAAACCGGTTAACAAACTCCACCGCGGCAGGAACAACCAACTGAGCACTATAATCCCTGGTTCCAATCCAAGCACTCTCCACAGCCAAGCCATTGCCATACTCATGAGACACCACAGGGTGATGCAAATCAGAACCAGAAACAGAACCCTTAAGGTTCCTACGAGTATACAAAAACGCAATTGAAGGAGGACAAAAGAACCACTTATGCAAATTACTAGTGTAAAAATCAGCACCAATTTCCTTCATATCAACATCAGTGCACCCAATGGAATGTGCAGCGTCGACAAAAACCTGGTCCACCCCTTCCTCCCTGCAAATCTGAATCAACTCCTTAACAGGAATAACCACACACGGCATGGAAGTGACGTGATCAATCACCGCTAACCTAACCCTTTTTCCGTTACTATTTCCTCTCTCCAATGCCTTCCTAAACTCAGAAACGATCTCGTCATTGGAGTTTACGGGGAAAGGGAGGGGAACCTCGACAACGTTACCTCCGGCGCGTGTGACGTACGCTTCCATGGATTTCTTAACGGCGCCGTACGCGTAGTGGAGCATGAGGACAACGTCGCCTTTCTGAAACCTTCCTTCGCGGAAGTTCCATGCGGTGTGCTGGAGGACAATGGCGGCGGCGGTGGTGGCGTTGTCGACGATAGAGATCTCGTCGACGTGGTCGGCGTTGACGAGGTCCTTGATTAGGGTTCGAGATTGGAGGATGCCGGTTTTGAGCTCATTGAAGTAAAAGTGGTCAGGCTGGCGGAGGTACTGGAGCTGCCAGCGGTGCTGCGCAGCGCGGATGGAGGCGGGGCAGCAGCCGAAGCTGCCGTTGTTGATACGCGCGACGGAGGCGTCGTGGTGGGCGAATTCGGATTTGATTTCCGACGCAGTTATAACGGAGGTGGAAAGGTTGGGTTTTTTGGCTACGTGAGAACCGTTGTGGTGGTTGTTTTCGTGGATGTGGTTGTGGGTGGTGGAAGACATTGGGGTTCGGAACGACGATAACGGAGAAAAATGAAGAGAAGATAAACGAGAATTTCACAAAGAGAGAAGAGAGAGATAAGTGAGTGAATGAGTGAGTTGGTGAGAGAGAGAAATAAGGGTATACAAAAGATGAGGGGAACAAGGACAAGTGGCTAACCCTATTTACCTCTTGCATTAAACATATTAATTAATTAATTAATCATAAATAAAAGCAGATAAAACAATACTCAATAATGTTAACGAATTTTTTTATAAAATATATAAGAATGTAAGAACTAAAAAGTGTGAAGTTTTAATATATTTTTAAACATTCAATTTAAAGAGATCAAATATATTTTTATAATTCTTTTTGTCTTTAAATAATAATTTTGAAAAATTACAATCATATATTTCTAAAACAATAATAATTTAAAATATTTTTTTTAATTTAAAAGACTAAAATTGGATTTATGTATTTATTTTACATTTTTCTTCGGCATTTTTATCTTTAAACTATAAACATTTTTAAGATTTAATTTATTTATCGTGGATTTAAAGTCATTTTTATTTTATTTTTTATATTTTCTTATGTGAGATTACTTCTACATTGCAAAACGGTAAAATTGATTTTTTTAAGAACGGTAGAATTGATGGTTAAAACTTACATATTTGGCTCTTAAATAAAATAATAATAATAATAATAATAATTCACACTGATTGAAAAAGATAGTTAACATCAATTTATCCTATTTAAGATAATTTATTTTCTTAGTTAACATCAATTACATGCTAATCTCATTACACAAAGTATAAATTAGATGAGATTTTATTACATGTTATTAAAAGTGGTTCCAACCTATGATATTTTACACATTCTAAAAATAGTAAATAAAAATTTATATTCGATTATATTTTCCTTCGTTTATTTTAATTAGGTTTTAGAATTTTCTTAGATTATAATTTTTCAAAAAGTTAAAATAACTTAAAATAAATATTATAGTTGAATTTTAAATAATCATAACAAAAAATTTAGTTTAGATTAAAAATCAAATGTAAATAAAAACATATCACGTAAGTTAAAAGTAAATAAAATGAAATATATATATATATATATATATATATATATATATATATATATGATAATCTATAATTATTATAAGATCTTAAATTAAAATTGATGTCATTTATAGAGTATCTCTTGAATTATTGTAAATTTACCTTTTCCACGTCAATTTAAAAAATATGCATAACTTTTAACTATTAAAATATTGTAAAAATAAATAAATAAGACTGTTTAAGAAACTTTTCAATGCAATTAAATCCATACACATTGATTGAAATTGATTAATGGTTTATGGATAAAAAAATATAATATTTTTCTAATTTTAAATAATTAATGAAATTCATATTAAAATAATAATATTGTTTTTAAATAATTTAAATAAACAATTTAATTTAGAGATATAATAATCCAATCCATTCAAATACATTAGTCTTTAATTGAGATAATAGCTTTTTTTATTCTTAAATTCACAATTTATTTTATAACTTATCCGCGTGACATATTATATTTGAATGAAGGTTCGTATGTTTATTTATTTACAATTTTAAGAAATTAAAAAACATTTTTCAACCTTTTTTTGCATGAGAAAACTTAGATGCATAATACATGGATAAAGTGAATTCAATTTAGGCTTGATAGAAAAAAATGCTATTTTTTTTTCTAAAACAAAGTATTTTGATAAATTGAATTGTGGAGGTAATAAATTTAATTAAATTCAATCCAGAATATTAATTTATACTCTTATAAATAAGATCTGTAGAAGAAGTAAGGTTGAAACACTGAATTGATGTGAGTATAATAGTTTTGTTGTCTCTGTTTCAATCATTGCAAGTAAAGACAAATATAAACGAAGACAAAGACGAAAGACAATTAAAAACGATGAATTATGATAAGTTTTTAGGTCATCATGAGGAAATTCCAATTCAGTCATGCAAACTAAGATTATGTATTTGTTTGGAATAATGGATTTTTCATTGTTTGGAATTTATATAATTTTCCATTAAAGTGCTGTACATATGTAACTGGAGTTTAATAAAATAAATTATTATGGTTAGTTAATAAAAATAATATTTATATTAAAGCAGTCATTATAGATGTTAATAATCTTTACACATAAATGAATTATTATTATTTTTATTTTGAATTTAATTTGTAGAAATAAAAGAATAAATAATCTTTTTAGTACATTAAAATATAAAATAAATAAAATTAAAATCATAAAAGTGCTTAATGCAAAAGAAGAACAAACCATATAATATTTAAAATAAGTGCGTTAGTAGGAGGAATTGTGAGGATTGGGTTTGGTTTGGGTGGATTGGGTTTTGGTAGGAAAAGCCCATTATGATGCCCAATAATAATGGAGTGAATAGTTGGTAGGTACTGTTTGGTTTGGATATTCAATTGGTGAATAAAATATTAGGAGGAAGAGAAGTAAAGCACTCAATGTTATGCTTCTCGCAGTCAAAATAAAAAACTTGTTTTTTCGGATCTCGAAAGGACACAACACTTTTCCAACAAAATTAAAGTAAACCAACCAAAATTGTGAAACTTCTACGAAATTTCTTTGCAAAATATCTATCGATATTAACTTTTTTAATTTATTTTTATTATATTATTAATTTTTTCTCTTTTTATCTTTCTTCAAGTTATAAAAAAATTGTTCAATCTTATTATAGACGTACAGTGTCTCTTTATAAAAAGCTATTAACTGTAACGTGTAGAGTAACGGAAATAAAACTAAATTGGAAAAGATAATTCAACTGTTATATAAAATGAGTTTTTTAAAGTAAAAAAAATAAATTAAACGAGCTGAGTAATTTTATGTGTTTAATAACTATTTGTTCACCAGAATGAGAAATGACAAGAGATAGTAATAATTTGGCACAGCTTTCGAAAATTTAAAATATGCTTATTTTAATATAAAACGACAATTGTATTTTATTTTTACCGAAACTTTAATCAATATTTTTCTTTTTGTGTACCTTATCTGGATTAGTTTGTGAATCGTCAGAACCCCTCACACCAACTTCTCTAGCAGGAGGAATATTTTAATCACATTATTGGTCCCGAATCATGTTGGCTCAAATTTATAATATAACTATATATAGAAAACTTAGGTTGCGTGAGGCATAGAAATATAAAATAAATCAAAATTTATATTTTATTGACTAAAAGATTAAAGGGGAAAATATCTCAACATATTATTCTTAAATGGTATTTGGTTCTATGCGGAGTGAAACACGGCAACTACTACCTCGTAAGGGTGAGTTCCATTTGCCAACATCACTTGTCACCATGAAATGGAATACCATAAATGTTTTACACCAACCAAGAGATAATTATTTTGTGATTACTTTCTAACAGTGAATCAATAATATTTAAAAGTTCTAACATGATCAGCAAACTTCACTTCCAAAATGTAGTGTTATAAAAAAGAAGAAGAAACAAAGGGTATTACTAAAGTTTCTAATTTTGATGTCTCGTGGTATAATGTTATTTTATATCGCATAAAGGCCCTGTTTTTATTTTTTTCTATGTAGTTTTAAATATTTAATATTTTCGCATTATATATATATATATATATTAAAAAGTTTTTATTAAATTACACGAAGTGTAATACATTTTTGTTGTAAATAATATTTCAACAATAAATTAATGATACAAGTTAATATCAAACATTTAATACATCACAAAAGGAATACTTTAATTAAATATAATCAAAGCACTTTCTTTTTTAATAAATAATATCAATCGAAACAAAAGTCGTAATTACAACCTGACAATAGGATTAGGAACCTGGCATTTTGTTGTGAAACAGATATTTCCAAAGCAAATGATGTTCTTTTCTTCATTTTATTTGACAATTTAATTTAGTTGCAGAGATACCAAGCTAACTAATGAATGGACATCCATCTATTATTGTTTATTAATTACGACCTTCCTCCTTTTTCTTTGTGCCGGTGTGGACCTAGCATTATTTATTAGTTCTTACCAAGTTCTCTCCATTTCATCGCTGGAGCCTTCATAGCAGCAACATCAGCTTCTGCAGTAGCTTAAAGCTACGGAAGGTTTGTTTTTTGTTTTATTTTTTAATATTTTGGTCCTCGTAGTGTGTTCAACCCACTTGATTCCTCTCCCTTCACATCTTGTTTTTGTTTTGGTTTTCAATCTTTGATCTTGGAACATGATGATGAGTTAAACCCTCTTGACTTTTGTCCTCTACTAACTACCCCGCTTCAAATTACCTCTTGATTCTCCTTTTGTTCTAGATTTCGAGGAATCTGTGCGTATAATTGGCATGTGGGTGTGGGGATCTGTGTAAAATTGTTTTTGTAACATTAGTAGAGTGAAATGATTCTGTTTATTATTATTCTTGTGCTTTATGTTTGTGTTAAATGGGTGTAGAAGTACAACTTCCGTGGAGGACAAGAAGATAAATCAACTGTAAATAAAGTTAATTATAACTCACAAGTTTGGGGTGAAAATCTTAACAATACCTATTCGTTGCTGCCTCGTTGACCAAACATGGAAACGACTAGCTCAATGCCTATTTTTGTTTGATTTATTTCAAAAATAAATTTGAGTTGCTAGATGACCATATATTATAGATTGCATAGGAAGCTAAAGATTTTCTTGTCAATATGATGGTAAAAGTAAGTACGACCCGAACCGTTTCATATCTGTAGAAAAGAGGATTATGTTTTTCTGATTATATATTTTTCTTAGATGGGCTGTTTGGAGAATATACCACAAGGACTGTTCTATTTCCTTTCTTGTTCCATTCTTACATGCGTTCTGTGTAAAATTAGAACTGTATCCAGTTCAACTTACTTTCTGATTACCTTTAAGGCAGATTTTCCTTGATCATGGGGCAAAAGCATTTGGTGGTGACCTTCTGTTTATGGGCTTTAACATGTTCCCTTCTTCCATCTCTCTCCTTCGGAATTCTGAGAATTGGTTTGAAGAAGAGACCTCTAGATCTTAATAGTATTAATGCTGCTAGAAAGGCAAGAGAAGGTCTAAGATCTGGAAGACCAATTATGGGTGAGCATAATCAGTATATTGTTAAGTCAAAAGGTGAAGATATAGTACCTTTGAAAAATTATTTGGATGCTCAGTATTTTGGTGAGATTGGAATTGGCACACCCCCTCAGACCTTTACTGTTGTGTTTGATACTGGTAGTTCCAACATTTGGGTTCCATCATCAAACTGCTACTTTTCTGTGAGTTCAACTTAAACTGTATGTCTGTATAAACATGTACATATAAGCTTATCATATTGACTAGTTTTCTCTTGCAGCTTGCTTGCTATACCCATCATTGGTACAAGGCAAAGAGATCCAAAACATATGCCAAAAATGGTAATTCCTTCTTGTCATCTTTCATGTTGATTATAGTGATACTGTGCTGTATGCATTAAATTAAAGGATATTGTAATACCTTATTACATGCCATGTAATGTTGGTTTAATCGTAACTATCTTGATGATCAGGAACATCATGTAAAATAAACTATGGATCTGGATCGATATCTGGTTACTTCAGTCAAGATAGTGTTAAAGTTGGCAACGCTGTTGTCAAGCAGCAGGTGAGTACTTTATTTGTGAGCTTCCACTTCAATACAAGATTCTTCAAACTTGTAGATAGCAATACTTACGAATGAAAACTGTAGGATTTCATTGAAGCTACCCGAGAGGGAAGTCTTTCCTTTCTGGCAGCAAAGTTCGATGGAATACTGGGACTTGGATTTCAGGAGATCTCAGTTGCAAATGCTGTGCCACTATGGTGTGTTTCAACCTTTCTTTGTTGTTTCATCTGTATCTAATTTCAATTTAGAGTTGGACTTGGATTTATTTTTTGTGCCTTTAACTGACCAGTCCATCATAAAATCACAGGTACAAAATGGTGGAGCAAAATCTTGTCACTGAGAAGGTGTTCTCATTTTGGTTGAATGGGGATCCAAATGCTAAAAAGGGCGGTGAAATAGTTTTTGGTGGTGTTAACCCAAAGCACTTCAAAGGAGAGCACACTTATTTTCCAGTTACTGAAAAAGGTTACTGGCAGGTTAGGAAATATACGTTTTATTTGATTAGGAATTCCTTTTAAATAATTATTTATTCACATCAGACATTCTTTAACGAGAAAGTTTTATTTTTTCAGATTGAAATTGGAGGTTTTTACATTGGAGGTGCTTCAACAGGTGATTTTATCCTTCCTCAACAATAAGAAACTTCTATCTTTGGGATTTACTAAGGGAGTGATTGAGTGTTTAAGATGATTTGGAATATGGTATAAGGAGCGAATTTAGAATGAATTTTTTCCTTCCTCATACTTGAATATATTTTGAAGAAATACACTCTGTTAAGTGTCAACAAACTATCTTTACATCAATGTTTACGAAATAAGATTTGTTTTCTCTTATTTGTTACATATGCTTTGATTAACGTTCTTCTAATTCTGAAATATATCAATGTTACTTTTAGGTGTTTGTGAGGGTGGCTGTGCGGCTATTGTGGATTCAGGAACATCTTTGCTTGCTGGCCCAACTGTATGTGCTTCCATATTTCTGGAGATTTTTTGGTTATTTAATCTTATTTATAATTTCTGTTGACCATTAATTTCAGCATGTTGTGGCTGAAATCAACCATGCTATTGGAGCTGAAGGAGTTCTTAGTGTAGAATGTAAGGATGTCGTTTCTCAATATGGAGAGTTGATTTGGGATCTCTTGGTATCAGGGGTAGGTTTGAAATTGAGCATGCGTTTTGGCTTTGATATTTTTTCCCACTTGTATTTCCACTCTTGGAACCTAAATGAGTTTAATATTATTCTGTAGGTGAAACCTGATGACATATGTTCACAAGTTGGTTTATGTTCTTCCAAAAGGATTCAATCTAAGAGATCAGAAAGGTCTATGGCTCTTCTATGGATTTTTCACCATATTTGTTTCATTGTTAGTCAATTTGGTAATACATTGAAGAATTGGATGAATGTTAGATACTTCTTTCTGATTATAAAGTTAAAAAATTTGGAAGTATCAGTTCCAAGCATTAGCAAATAACAAAAGAAGAGTTCTCTAAAAATATTGTCCGGGAACCTTCATTATGTTTACAATTACTAGCTTACTAATCTAGGATTCTATTCTTTTGCCATTGGGAGAGTTTAGTGATGCTAAAAGCCTGCAATATTTTGGCTGAAACAGACTCCTAAATTACTTTGAATTCATTTTTTGTGCAGCCCTGGGATTGAAATGGTGACTGAAAAGGAACAGAGTGAGTTGACGGCAAGGGATACTCCTTTGTGTTCTTCTTGTCAGATGCTTGTTCTTTGGATCCAGAATCAACTAAAACAAAAACAAACAAAGGACAGAGTATTCAACTATGTGAATCAAGTATGCCCTTCACATTATCCCGTCCACAAACTCAAGCAGTAGTATATATATGGTCCAGAGTACTGACATGTGATTAATGTTTGTTTGATCAATGACAGCTGTGTGAGAGCCTGCCAAGTCCATCTGGAGAGTCAGTGATAAGCTGTAACAGTCTTTCCAAGATGCCAAACATTACATTCACAATTGGAGATAAACCTTTTGTCCTTACACCAGAGCAGGTTGGGGTTTGAACATTCCATAATTTAACTACATTGCGGCTTTGGTGAAGATTATAATGTTATCTATATAGATAGATTAACCCTAACTATTTAGTTATTCATTGTGATTCTAAGATTGCTTTTTGTGGTTTCAGTATATTTTGAGAACTGGAGAGGGCATTACAGAAGTCTGCCTTAGTGGGTTTATTGCTTTTGATGTTCCTCCTCCACGGGGTCCATTGTGGTATATTAACTTTTTAAATTATTTATCCATAATCACATGTGCACACACTAGAATGTAGAGAACAACCATGAATGAAGTGTGTTTTACGTATGTATGTTTGTTCCTGATGCTACTAAATGTGTTTGCAGGATTCTTGGGGATGTTTTCATGAGGGCATATCACACTATATTTGACTACGGAAATCTCCAAGTTGGGTTTGCTGAAGCTGCCTAATTAGTAATTATGCTTCTGAAGGATATCTTGGCAATCATTCAATACTTGTTAGTGTAATGTAAATAAGCTGTTGAAAAAACTGTAGCTGCTTATGGAATAACGAATGTATTTTATCCATTTAAGATTAGAAATATACATTTGAAAGTGTTGTGTGTTTTTATGTGTAAACAGTTTTCATGTAATGCCGTGTTGGACCGAATTACGTGCCTTTTCTCTCCCTTTCAAATTAAGGATACTTGCAATGTGCCATAGTCATGCCAAACCTTATCTTGCTTTTCTCCACGGTGATGGATTCCATCATCTGCTAACACAGACAAAAGGAGAAATGAAAAGGAAAAACCGACTGCAAGTGGTTCCAGAAAGGTTTTGGCTTGCTGTTAGAAAGGGAAATGATAGCTAGAACCATTTTTTTTTTCTTTTTTCCTTTTATTTTAGGTAATGGAAACTATCAAAGCAATGGCCGAAAAATTAGTTTACTATCGGTATAAATTTTATCAACTTCTTTTTACTTATCTTGTGTTAGGTCTCTTTTACGATTTAGCTCGTACCTCATTACTGTTAATAGAACGTTTTGTCTAATAATTTTTAATAATTTATTTTGTTTATTATTTAATACACGCCATTGAAATAAAAAGACTAATTCATTAAAAGAGGCGAATACGAGAGATCCAAATCCAATTTTTTAAATCATAAGAACTAAATTATACTGTCCAAACTAAATTTAATATCTAAAAGATGTGAATTGATTTACTCAAAAAATCTTTAAAAGATGAAAAAGGTTTAAAAAAAAAAATTCATATTTGCAAAGTATCTTATACAAACACAACGATAAACCATCTTGCAAATAAGAACTTGAGAATCAGTAACTTAGTATTCTTATTATAAAAACTAGAATAAAAAAAAGTTCAATAATGTCTGTTCCTAGAATACGAACGCACGCTGGCGTGACAAGGGCAAAACAAATAATATCCACTACTTAAGGGAACTGTTCGTTTTTTTTCCTACTTCCACTTTTAATTATGAAAATATCACTTATTTTCACTTTAATTTTTACTGTCAAATTTAGATTTGCATAAGAAACAAGTGGAACAATAACACTCTTGAAGGAAAAGAAAAGTTCAATAACGTCTGTTAATGAATGCGCATGTTTTATAGCAAAATAAGCTCACACAACCCTAACTTTTTCAATGTGATCATTTCGCAACGAGTTCAGAGAATACGTACTACTGCATCCAACCAAGCTTTGTAATCACGAACTCGCTGCCCAGCCTTCAGTAGTGAGGCAGCTATGGCTTCAAGTTATTGAAAGGTTTTACAGTGTTTTGTCATCAGTAGTGTAGTGAGGACAATCCACTAAACTTTAATCTGCAACATATTCGAAACTACACATCTAACTTGTTGGCCATGGTATGGCCTAACATTAGAAACTAACAGAACATCACCCACACGTAAAAAATATATAATCCTTGCAAACATAACATTGTCTCACACAAGCAGGCAACATTTTTGGTCTACCAAACTACCATGAAATTCCAAATGTTTTCTTCCTCTTAAACTGAGGATGGTGACAAATATCAAATAAAACACGTAATGCAAACCGAACCACGATAAATGTCATCATGCTGATACATCACTGCATGAGTAATGTTCCTTATTCTTCATCACTATCATTATTAAATATAGACGAGATGGGAACATTTTGCTTCTTTGCAACATTTTGTTTCTTGGCACCAAATGTTATCTGCTGGACAGTGTGGAAAAATAAATGATATTAGCATACAAAAAGTGTACTTTGCAAATGTACAAGGCTTGAATTGGAACAATTTTTGGAATGTAAAGCACTCCAAACTCCCAAGTACTAGAAGGAAATTTTTTTATTTTCTTTTCAAACCCTAGACACCAGGTGGACATACCTTGGAAGCACTGCCTTTAGTCGAAAACCCAAACTTCAAAGTATTTCGCTGCTCCTGATCTGTAAGGGCAGTAGCAGTTCTAGACTCAGAGGACACTGTTCCTGATCCAGACTCTTGTTGCAGTTGAAGCCGCTGCTGCTTTTGAGCATCAGCACTGATTGACATTTAGGACCAAAAATAAAAAACCAAGATGACATGAGAGAAAGACGTTAAAATTTAGAAGACTGACCCCTGGCCACCCACCCATAGCCAAAATAACAATAAGGGGAGAAGAGAATAAAAAAAAATTTTGACATAGGAGTAAATGGATACATTTGAGCAAACTTTGCCATTTCTCTCTCCTGACGCTGTTGTTCTCTCTTTTGCCTATCATCTCTACTACTACTACCATGCATTTCCTTCATTTGTTTGAATCGCTGTATTTAACATCAAGGATTTTACATTAGGAGATAGAATTTGGAAATTAAGTTAAAAAAAGCAGAACCAGATACAGTTAAATTATTTACCTTTCTGTGATTGTGATCATAAGAGCTCAAGTGTGCTTCAAACTCCATAGCCAATTTGTATTGCTTGTTGCAGAGATCACAATAAAACACCTTCCGGATTTCGTTCACTTCAGTTTGAATTTTTTGCTCACGTTCAGCTAACACCTGAATTTTCATAATGTGCACGAAGCAGGCAGAAGAAGCCACCAGGTAATAAAAACTGCAGGAAATTCTCAAGACCTTCCAAACTTGATGGTTCCTTATGACATACCAATCCGGTCAAAAGACATGCATATATGCTATATGCAGCCTTCTGCTATGAGGGGTGCAGGTTTGAGAAAATATAAACATCAACTCGATACTACTATGTGGGTTTTGCACTAAGAGCAACTACTAAGGAGTGATAAATCATACCTCCCGCTTCTTCACATGTTCTTCTGTCTCCTCCAACTCAACATCAAGTTTTTTTCTCTGGATATTTTCTTCTGCAGTAAAGAAATCATCTTCTTCTTGCTTACCAACTCCAAGTCTTGGATCTCTAATCCCAGATTTTATTGGCTCAGTGATTCCTGCACACAAACAGTTTGAAAAATAAGATAAAGCATTTAAATGAAGGACAACACGAAAGTCAAATCACTTTCGGCTAAAGCATCCCCACATCAGGAATATATAAAAATAATACTGAAAAAGAAAATAAAGAATGAAATCATTGCCAAAGTCCTTGCTTCAATCAAGCAAGTGCAAATACACAGGTGATCCAATAAAGGATGTAATCAAACCCAGAACTAGAGAATAATACAACTTTTCTCCCAGAAGGAAAGATAAAACACTTGGGCAAACACTTTGCGTAGCATTAACTAGGGTGTGCTAAAGGTCACATTAGCAAAGAAAAAATTACAGCAATTTTTGTTATGCTTACAACAAATTACTACTGCTAGGTGTTGATGAATGGAATGACTGAATGAAGCAGCCCTAAAGACCAAAATAACAAGATTTGAAGTTTAAGCTTTAAATATTGAAAAGGTATTAGTAATGTGACTAGCAAACAAAATTCCATCAGCTTATCAGAAGCATTAGTGAGATTGAAGTCATGTCAGAGAATAGACATAAAGGGCAGGTTCTAACAACACTATGAAGGAAAAAAAGGAATAGAGAAAAAAAGGAAAAAAAAAAAAAAAAGAAAGACATAAAGGGAAGGTTCGAACAACTCTATGAAGGAGGTACAAAAACGAGTGCACAAATGGGTACAAGGACATGTTTAAGATGAACCAAGGAGTATGGACAACCTGTTCAGCACAGCAGAAACTAAAACAATGGGTAAATGCATTATGCAAATATTCAAAAATAGAGAAAAAAAAATTCTTAAATATCAAAGGAAGTGATAATATAGAACAAACCTTGTTCATCCTTCCCAAGACCCTTTCCTTTCCATCCCATCTTTTGGAGAAGCTTAAAGCCAATATTAGTTGATGTTAACTGTGTGTCCAGAGATGCTTGCTCTACGTTGTCCAGATCAACATTTTCTGTTGGCCTGTGGTTGATTGGCAAGCGGAAATCCTCTGACAAATCCTCAATAAGAGAGTCCGTATATGCCTGAAAAATCAATTCATCTCAATACAATGGAAATCACAGTAATAGTTGCCCATCCACAATGTCTTGAAGACACATTATCATTTTAGCAATATATAAAAGACATACTTAATACTGCATATAGTATAAATATAACAGATAATGTTTAAAATCCTGGATAGCAGGCAGTCCCAAAAATGCTGCAGGGGGAAAGCATCGAGCAAGATAGATGCTATTTTGAAAATTTAAATAGCTTTTATAAGTTACTATATACATATAAGTTCTCAAAAATGACAAAAAATACTCAAAATAATTTATTCATAATTAGCAAAAGAAGGAAAAGGTATCTTAAACACACAAGTAAATGCTAACAAAAGTCAAATAATCATTTTCACTAAATTACAGAGGTAGTTTCTTTTGTAAATTGAAATCCCAAAAGCCCTAATGTAAGAACACACACACTACTTGATTGAAGTGATGGGGGACATCCATTACCTGTTCCCTTTTAGATTGCCTCCTGTCACGGCCACCTGTTTCCTGCCTCCCATTGGTCCATCGATAGTCCATTTTGGATCTACGCAGAAAACAATAATCAAACAAAAGATGTAAAGACATAGTCACCAGGAGAGTGGATGCACTACTTCCTAAATTCAGGTGGGAAAAGTGAGCTGAAAAAAGTGCACGCAACATGAACCCAAGATTGAAAAGTACCGGGCCAATTGTGCAAGAATAAATCGTGATGATAAAATACTCTCGCAAAAACTTATTAAACACAGGATAGGGCATTCAGCAATTTAACTTATTCGCAGCACTAGTTTAGAACATATGAAAACACAAGTTATGGGTCACCTGATCAAATTCACCAACGAAAAAGGCCAATACAATTCAGCGAACCAGCCGACCCACTTGGTTAAAAAAAAAAAAAAACTTCTACCTTTATGAAATTTAACCAAAACCCAACAAGGAAAATTTAGGGGAATGAAAATTGGAATCAGATCCAGAAAACCCCAGCTTAAACAGTCTAAGAATTAAACCACGATTGAGAAATATTATTGTCTGAGAAAGCAAAAAAAAAAAAAAAAACACCTTGATTATAGTATGAAGAGCGCAAATTCTGGAATAACAACGTCGCTTGGATGTCGTCCTGGTTAGATTTCAACGCAGGGTCTTCGACTTGAGATATTCAGATGTGATGAAATGAGAGAATAACAGGATCAAAAGCAAACATGATGATATATTAATATTAAAAAAGAAAATAGAAAATGAAAAATAAGAGAGAGAAAAAATACGAGTGGTGGTGGATACTTAGGGATTGAACATTGGGTTGGTTTTATTCAATTTGGGTTAAACCTAAAAAGCGTGTCTTGAAATCCGTTTTCTATGTTTGGGCTTGGGCCAAAAAAAGAAAAAGAAGTTTAAACTAAGGAATAAGAATAACTGCGGAATCGTGTCAAAGTTGAGGAGGAATCAAGTGTACGTTTGGTTAGCATTGTTTTTGAAAAAAATTTATTATATTACTTATTTTTCTTAAATAATATAATTTCCGGTTCCAGTTTTTTCATGAAAAACATGAAACAATTGGTTTAAAACGATAAAATATTGTAGAGTACATAAATATCATGCTTGTCTAACGATTCAATTTTTTTGAATAAATACCATGTTTTATATGTTCTGAATCTGAAACTGTATAGTGTATAATATAGCTGTTACCATTGATCTTTTTTTCGTTTTCCATGCATCTTCAGACAAAATGGAATTTCTGGAAAAAAAAATACCTAGGAAGGAAAAGGGCACAACTTTTTATTGCCTTTTGATGATGGTGAAAATTTTCAGAATATTACAAATTTGTCCTTCTTTGAAGGGAAAGAGATTGATTAGATTTTATGTCCATTTATATTAATTTAAATTTATTTTAATTTTCATCAACCATTATAGGATAAAAACCTGAGGTCTATAGGGGGCAGAGCAGAGGAGTAACTAAAGATTTTTTTTTTTTTTAAACATAGCTAATACAAGTTTGAATACATTTTCTTCTACTTTATTCAACCCCTAATATATATATATATATATATATGAGAGAGAAAGAACAAAATTCTTATGGAACTCATATTTTTTGTTTTCTTTTTACTTCGAGAAAAAAAAGAACTAAAGAGAAAGAGAAATACAATAAAAGATCAAATTTTACTATTTTCTATTTTTCTTTACTGTCTTTCTTTTATTCTTTTTTTCCTAAGCCAAACTAAATAATTGAGTAACAGTGTAATATCTGATGACCCAAAATAAATAAACATTAATATCAATAAAAAAAAAAATCAAACCAGTAATTGTGTGAGGATTATGCAAAGCTTGTATTTGAAACAATGAACATAGAACTCGAAATATTCTTTTGTTCAGCATAATCTTGAAAAGCTTAATTAATGTGATTACAGCTAGAAAACATCATCCGAAAGACTTAAAATTGCAGTTGTAATGCAAAGAAGGAATATATTAATATTAAAGGGTCTGGTCTAAGTACAAATGGGTATTCCAAACCATGGCCCTTACAAATATCTTAATCAATGGAGATATTTAAGAGATTCCGCAAGGCAATGATGAAGAAAAGCGAAAAGTTCATTTGGCCACAACAGCAGTACCTTGCTTACTGTTAACCTCTGATATTTTGGGGATCAGTGCTCTGAATGCTAAACTTGCAATCGTGGTTTTGGTTTATAGGGCACCACCACTTTAAATCCTCTAAGTACTTTCTACGGTTCAAGAGAAAAACTTAACCCCAGTAGAGAATCGACTTTATTTAAAAGCACTCAATTAAGACTCTCCTTTTGTTTTAAAAAATTTCAGAAACACCTGGACCTTACGCTCCTGTATTGTGCATGAACCAATTAATAAAGCTGTCTTCCAACTAATTTTCACTCCCTTAATACACGACCATGTATTATTTAACTCTACACACTGCAGCTATTGTTGCTGTTCGTGCCATGTTACTACATAAGCAGGTCACTTAAGTAAGCGCGTTGTAGTGAGTGAAATCTTACATAAGACAAATCAATCTAGATAACATATTTTATAGGTTTGTTAAACATGTTCACCATCTTTTTTGCTTGGTAGGTCTAGTTAAAAAGTGACCTTTGCAATAGCTGTCAATGCATATTTGGCAAATTAAATTACAGAACATGTTCTACACAGAGTAATGCACTCATTAGGATCCAATAAAATGTTTCTTACCAAGAGAGGAAAGGGTAAGTGGCGATGGAACCCCCACCAATTGTCAAGTTTTCATGACCAAAAGGGGAAGGGGAGATAGCCAAGACCAACCTTATGACTGGGTGAAACCAGCGGACCACAGAAAATGCGCCTTTGCCAAAAGATGCACAGTGTTAACTGTTCCATGTCAGCTTTAATTGGACCATGAATATTGATCACAGCAGTGATTTGAATCGGATTCTCCACCCTTAATCTCAGTTTAAAAAAAGTTGTCAACTTGTGCTATAAATTGAGCCCCCTAGCCTCCAAGAAGTAACCCAACACCACAACTCCTACAAGTTCCTTCCCATTTCTAGCCACCAAAGAAAGCCACACCAGTGTTTCATAACTAACAATCATAACCATGGCAGGCAGAAACAGGCAGAGGAAGTCTTCTTTCCTTTCTGTCTTCAACATTTTCAAATCCAACAACAAGCAAAGAGGGGGAAGCAGTTACAACACTTTCTACGATGAAGGGCCAAAGGTCTCTGGGACCAAAGTGTGGCCTAGTGATGAGGACAAAGGTCGATGGGGGGTGGCTGATCCTGTCATTGACATGAGAGCCACAGCTTTCATTGCAAAATACAAGAAGCGCGTTTCAGAATCTGAAATTCATTGTCAAGCTCAATCACAGCACTAGGCAATTTTTTAATATGGTTGTTCTTTTATTGTACCTATGTTAAACTTGCATGTCTTCTTTAGTTACTATTGATTAATAAGTTGTGAAGCACAATAAACCATGTTCAATATGAATAATAACCACAATATTTTGTAGCTTTTATCTTGCTTGTCGTCTCTCACACCATATTGAAAAAATGATCAAGCTCTCGTTACTAAGAACTGAATCGGGCACAGACTTAAACTACTTCGAAACTATAATCTCATTTGTCAGTAGCAGAATCCTAACATGGAGCAGAGCATTGCAAAAAATGTTCTCATTAGTTTGAGCTCATTCTTAGAAGGGTCAAGAGGTGCTATGAGCTTATAATTCAGAAGCTTGATTTGCAACTATTAATTAATACTTCTACCATTTCAATATGAAGGACTAAACTGGCAGAAAATATAGTGATTTATGGCGCTTATTTTCATCTTTTGTTTCTCCTTTTTGCAAGCAAACACCAATGACTTGGTTTGATGTTAATGGACCAGACCACATGGATTCCCTTGCTACTTCTATGATATGACTGAAACTTGGGACATCACATTCACGCCTACACCTGTATTTGTCGCTAAAGAACACCTTGATTGTTTACTTCTTTTGACTGGAATAGTGTGGAATCATTTGTAATACAAGTTTATGAAGAGGTGGAGTAGAAAGGGGCAACAATATATCACTATTACATAATGAAATTCTTGAAAGGAGTTTTTCTTTTTAATTGATCAGCATATACTTGATTAGTAAGGTAAAAAAGTTTACAAATCAAGGATAATCGTTATAACACTCTGTTTGAGTGTATACACTTCTTGAAAAACCCACATGATTTGGTATCACTACTAGAAACTAATTTTTTTTGTCAATTTTCTTGCAAAAAATTGTTTAAATTTATAGAAAACTTATTTCTTACAATTTTTACAAAAACTTTACAAAAATATTCCCATGAAAAATGAGAATTTTTAGTAGTGTATATGTTTGATAATATAAAAATAATGTGATAAAAAAGTTTAATTTTTATATACATAAAAAAATATATCTATAAAAAGAAATAAATTTAAAATGAATCTATATATTTTTTTTAACCGCGGAATAATTTGATTAAAGATATACAGTTCATTGAAAAAGAAAGGGATATTAAAGAAAACAATTATTAAAAGTAAGGGAAGGGAATTTAAAAATGTAAAAATAAAATTAATTTCATGTCTGAATTTTTTTTCCGTAAATAGTACTACAAAAATATTATTTATTATTAATTAACTTTATTCAAAATTACATAATAACGTAGTTCATTATATAAGAAGTAAACTTACAATAATTTTTGTGTTTTAGAAGTTTCAATAAATGATAAAACTTGCGTAAAAAAATATTAAAGAGTGAGTTGTTATTATTTATATTTCCATATTATAAATCGTTTATGTTAAAAAAACTGCTTATAATCTATTGATCTGTTTGTCTTTTACTTTTTTGGTAATAAAAAAAATGTAATATTCAGCACACTTTTTTATACATTTTATGATTAACCAAAAATTTATTAAAAACAAATTTTGTGGATTTTCTTCATTGACTCGTAGGTTTTTTTAATAAATTTAAACTAATAATACTAATTTAAAGAATTAAAATAAGGTTATTGTTACTATCATTATAGTCTTTATATTGGTGAAAAGAATACTACAATCTTACACTATTTTTATTACAATTTTCTTTCTTTCTTTACTTTATAACATCCTTTTGCTTATAATTAAAAATTTATAAACATTTATTTTTAAAATACAACACTATATTACACGGTTAGAATCATAATAACCTTTGGTACATAGATTATATTTTCTTCCTCGTTAAGATTGACTCCACAAACATGTCGCATAGAATTTCGTTTGGATGGTGGTGATTGGAAAGAAGGAACAATTGACAATTGTGTTTCACGAATGTTTTTATTTAGGTTTAACTTCAAATCGAGAGATTAGTACATGTTGTATCTCGGTATGTTCTATTTTTTAAGAATGTTTTTAATTACAAGACGTGCTTAAAAACTAAACTAACACACTTGTATACAAACTATACCATGAATTAAAATAAAAGATAACAAATATTTGTTTTCTTATTTGGTTGATCATAAACAGTACTATATATATGATCTATCTAGTTGTTTGTTTATGCTTTCTTTAAGTATTTTTTAATTAAGTTTTTTTCACAAACATTTTTTAATTATAAAAAAAGCATATACTCATATCACTATTTTTTTCAAAAGTGACCTTGATGATATAATTATTTTTTGAACAATTGAGTGAATGCCAGCTCTTGGAATCCTATGGATTTTCAGGAAATGGGGTCGTTGTGGTTTTCTTTAAGAAACAAACAATACCGTACGTTGTACATGTTTCTTATCGACCTCTTTTTCTGCTTCACTAATCTTCTTTTTGCTCCTCCTTTGTTCTCTCCACAACAGTTACCAACCATCTTTTGCTTTATCAAGTGTTATTAGGTTAAATTTAGAAAGAAGAAAAAGTGTAAAATCTCAAGTATTTTTTTCTTCTTTGCACAAACTCATTTTTAAGCTTTATGTAATATTCCAAAAAAATCTCTTTTTTTTCCACGTGTTGTTAAATTAATGTGAAATATGTTATTCTCAAGCTTTAGGCCTTTCATGTATATATCATGAATCTGGACCCTTTATTTTTTTTATTAACACAATGATTTGCTTGAAATGTTTTGATCACATTTTTAAATTAAAAAACTTTGGGTCCTAACCCTTTTTCGTTGTAAATTATAGTATATATATGCCACTTGACATAGACAAACCAACTAATCATTTAATAGTTCTCCAAAGCAATCTAATTCTTACTGTGTTCATCTCCACACTTAATTAATCATATTCATGTAATCCTCTAATATCTTGTCGAGCTTAATGCGATATAACATTACATAATAAAGGGCTAATTTCATCATCATATATCATTAATGAGAAGCTCTTGTTGATACAATTTGATGAAGAAATTAGTCGTTTAACAATATGGTAAAATCAATTTGGAAAAAAAATAAAATGCGAGTTAATCCGAAACACTAAACCCTTTAGGGTTTAAGAAGGGTGGATATGTTTGTATTGTTGGAAGAAAGGGTTGAACGATTTGGGATGAGTTGCTTAGGCAAAGGCCATTATTGGTGGCACAGAATTACGTGCATAAAGAAAAAGTGAAAAGTGGCGATGAATTGATAATAACGTGAATCTTCACTCAGGTGAGGAGAAAGTACAAAAAACATAGCGTAGGCAGCATTATTAACAGTACCCTACCTAGCTATCTATACTCTTCACAGAAAAGCTTGTTTGGGTCAAGTACGTACGTGGCTTGCGGACTAAAACAAATGTGCTATGCCAAAAGTATTGGTACCTTCAAATTGTCGTTTTTTACCATGCCATGCAATCATCAACGCTGATTGAGTCCTTCATGTTATACCACTCCTTTATCAGATTCTCTAGAATTCATGGCAATTCACCAACCAGTCTTACAATGCCACCCTCCTCAACCCACTATAAATTCAGTTCCTCCACCTTCCCTATTCAACACGATCAAGGTTAACAGTGCGTGTGGTCGTGCAGTTCATCATAAACAATATTGGCCCTACAAGAGTTAACATGGGAGGTAAGTGTTCGTTTAGTTTCTTGTTTGTTTTCAACTTGTTCAGAAGTAACAAGAAGACGAAAGGAGGTCGTAGTGATGGCCGTGAGATTGTGCGTGATTGGCCTAGTGATTATGACAAAGGGACTTGGGGGGTGGCTTCACCCAATATTGACACCAAAGCTCGAGTTTTCATTGATAAGCAAAAGAACCGTGTTCACCATCAACCTTGATCTACCTTCATTTATTTGTTTTTTTCTATGGAATATTTTATTATTATACACGAAATCGTCTTGTTTCTAGTTAACTTGTAGTTGTTGTATGATAATGTTATATAATAAACTGTTCTGTTTGTTACATCTTTTTTAATTTGTTAATCATAAAATGAAATGATGAACTTCTTCATAAATCAAAATTAATTTATACATAAAACAATTTAAATTCTTATTTTTAAGTCATAAATAATCTTAGTTTAACTTATAAAAGATATCGTTTTCTTTTGACAAAAGAACTTCAAGAAAAGTTCGTTCAAACATCCGTTAATTTTCATGCAACATCTTATTTTTGTTATACATATATGTGTTTGTACTTGTTTTGAACGCGTGCATATCTTTCTAATAATTCCTTCTGCATATCCTTCTTGTTTTTCTTGGAGGTAAAATCAAAGTGTATTGAATATGAAGTACAAGAAATACTCTACCCAAGTACATCAAAGAACATAACCCATAACATACATGATATACCAGTGGCAACATTGACATATGAACCCCCCCAAAAAGAAAACAGTGACCAATAATAAGAAAGAATCAAACTTCCTAAACCAGAAAACATGAAGGTCATATAGCAAGCATTATGAACGAGCAATATTGACATAAAAAGGCAAGGGAAAAACCATGAGATATATGATCCATCAGAGAACAAATGTTGATCCTCTTGTGCACCATGTGGTCATCATCTCATTTTCGTGTTGAACGAATTAGGGTCAGTTTCGTTTGTAAATTGAAAAAACGATTAACATAGAGTGCAAAAACATTTCCTCCAAGATTTAAAGTAAAAACACGTTTTAGTCCTTCAAGGATTGGGAATGATAGTTGTTGAAGAATAAAATTAACATTTTTGTTTTTCAAATAATAAAAAGAGTCGACCAATTTAGTATTTTTTTTTCACATCAATTTAGGTTTTTTTTTTTAATTAGCTGACATTTATTCTTTTAGGTTATAGAAATTGTCGTTTTCATTTTCTGATTTGTAACAAGTAATATAACTGACCCAAATTCCTATAGAAGTTAAAATGATATTTCACAAGAGAGGCATTTAATTATTGTGGTTGGAAAACTTCATCTTTATAATTTTTAATAATTCATTTGAGATGAAATATAATATTGTACAAATTATGCCATACCTTTTTTTGTTTGTTTGTTTTTCTTAAAACAGAGAAAGTTTTGATGCAGGGAAATAAGTTTGAGATGAACTTTTTTCTAAATCCAATATCAGTATTCTATTTTGTTTATATGATTCTTAGTTTATATACAATAAATAGTTTTTAAAATCTTAATAATTTCAAACTGGATCCAGTTGTCAAACATAAATGGTTTTGCTTTTCAAACGCAATATCGCACGTTATACATGCATGGATATTTCTAATTCTACCTCACTTCCCACATGCTTTACGCTATGAGTTTCTAAAAGATGCTCCTTTTCTTTTCTGTCCGTATCCGTTCCTTCCTTTATATCATTAACCACAGGTTCTTCACATTTTTGTAATTAAGCTTGGAACTGAAGATAAAATTTAAGCAAAAGACAATATTATAACGGAGAAAATTATATTCTACCAATCAATAAGTCAGTAAGTATAACATAATTAAGAAGCAATCAGTACTAGAATAAGTATATGAGAAAATTAATTATGGATTAATTAAGAGCTTAGGTTCTCTCTCACACACACACATATTTATATATATATATGTATATATATATATATATATATATATATTGGTGAATAGTTATCAAATTTGTGTTGATTAACATCAACAATTAATGGTTCTGAGTTTTTCATAATATTTGTTTGATTATTAAAAAAAAAAAATTGGCCAACCTTGGAAAAAGGATGGAACATAGTTCCCGATATCGAAATGTTACATAAATATGACAAAACGAGTCGAGTTATAGTCATGACGAGTTAGTAAACTTTTGTCCGTCTCACCATAATTTAAAAAAAATTATTTTTTAAAATCAAATTTTCAACATATTTACTAATAATATTATTATTTGTTTGTGAATGATTCTATATATATATATATATATATATATATATATATATATATATATTTCAATTCAATAATATAAATCAACTCATTATTTTAAGAAATTATAATTTAAAATAATAATAATATTATATGTAAATTTTATTATTATTTTAAATTATAATTTCTTAAAATAATGTATTGATTTATATTATTGAATTATATATATATATATATATATATATATATATATATATATATATAGTGTTAAAACTTGTAAAATTTATATTTTTTATATTGAAAAATTTAAATATCTATATCTTTTTTATTTGATAAAACTTCACATCATTCTCGTTTGAGTAATTATTACACCTTTAATTTAAGTCATAAGAATAAGAATAATCAATGTTTAGGATGAATAACAAGAATATGATGAGCAACAGGAAAAAGAGGAGAAAGAAGTTTGTGATTCAAGTAAAGATAATATTTCTTATAATGAGTGAGAGTGAAACTTTTTTAATTCTTTTTTTATAATTTTTAACTTTATATATTATCATTATAATTAATTTTATTACAATAAAAAAATTATTAATTAGGTGGGTCACAGGTTGGTCCGCTCGCCCACGGATTGATGACTTGGCTGAGCGGCCTGATGAGTTTAAAACACCAACCCGCCTCATCATATTATAGTAGATCGACATGTTTGACCCGTTTTATCATCTTAATGTTATATATCTAAAAATATGATAACATAAATAAAAAAAAATTAAATATAGATACTTTCAAGTGTTTAATCGTGGATAAAAACTTGATTTGGAATATTTGACCATTAATTTTTTTTATAAGATCAATGATTAGGTTATTTCTCTTCTAATATATGCCCGAGTCTAATAATATGTGGAATAGAACAATGATATCTCTTTTTAATAAAATGGTTGAGCTATTTATAATTGGAGTTTAAATTTACCTATAATAATGTTCTCTAATCATATTAAATTATATATATATATATATATATATATATATATATATATATATATATATAAATCCAAAAAAAAAATGTATGAATTTGATTCACTTGATTTCAAAGTTTTGGGATGCGGGACATAGTAATTTAATATTTTGAGGGATACTTTCTTTTATAAGGTAAAAGATATTGGTAAAATGAGGTACCATTATGTGTGAAGTACTTAAAGATTTTGATATTGAACTTCAAGACTTAAAGAATGGATAACTCAAAAAGAAAAAAGGACAATATTGACGTCGATTTCTCAAGAAGAAACAACTACACATAGTAAACTAATAAAATGTTAGTTTATATAAACATATATTTGAGTTTAACATGCATCTATATTTAGTGTAAAAAATCTTTGTACTAATAATAAATAAATAAATAAATAAATAAATATATATATATATATATATATAACATTTAACTTCATTGTTAGAAAAGTCAATAAATTTATCGCACACACAACGGTTTGGGATTAGACTACAATATATCAAAATCTACACTTTCAATGGGTATTATTATATATCTTTCAACATAAACAACTAAAATTATAAAAAAAAAAACACAAATTGTTAATTACCTGGATTAATTTATTTTATTACAAAATCTTATTCACAACTTCTTTTTCTTGACAACAATTCCCCCAAAAATTAAAATTTACCAAACATATATTTTTAAAAGGTAGGTAAGAATCCCCTTTTGCATCATCAACTTCACCTTTATTATTATTTTCATGAGATATTCCAACTTGCATGAACATGTTAGAATTAATTTAATTAATTCATCTCATTATGTGACTCATGTGAAATATAATGATGAACTTAAATATGATTTAATAAAATATGAGGACCTCTTGGTTATTATGTGAAGTTAGAATAAAATAAAGATAAAATAAACTATTAACTTACTGTAATCAACTTGATGGACGTTGGTTAATAAAAGAGATTATGGTTCTGTCTCTGGTCATAACACTAGTACAGAAAACACCTTTAACATCGGTTCTCAGCAGCTTTCTACATCGGTTCTACAACCGATGTAGATACAACCGATGTAGAAACTTGGTGAGTTTTAACATCGGTTAAGAACCGATGTAGAAAGTCTGACTTTTCACATCGGTTCTAGCCATAACCGATGTGGAAAATCAGACTTTCTACATCGGTTATGGCCTAGAACCGATGTAGAAAGTATAAAAAAATGACTTTCTACATCGGTTCTAGGCCATAACCGATGTGGAAAGTCATATTTTTTTTTTAAATACGAATTTTAGTTTTTTATTTTTCAGAACCTGTATAAGCATTTTAAATATTTACAGCTACTCAGAACGTTAATTTATAAAGGACATGCATCAACACACAAGTAAACATAATGTATATTACATAATAACAAACAGTGAACATTATTGTATTCTAAGTTTATATATACAAAGAAAATAGTCCTAATGTTTCACAATTAAGTTCAATCACGACTATAGTTCTTAATAACAAAATCTGCCCAAAGTCGTCTAATGTCATCAATATCTGCTTCACTTATTGGATGACCATCTTTGAATATCTACAAACAATAAAAAAACATTTCAAAGAAGCACAAGTAGGCAAATATATGTCAATGACATAAATATAGTCATAACACATACCAAATTCCATGAATCTGTGATATTTGTCGTGATGATTGTTAACATATGTCTCATCACATAATATCCGCACTCCCAACTTCCTTTTTGCTTATTACACTATAAGAAAAATAAGAAAAAAAACATTAAATACAGAAAATGAGTAAATTAAAGTTAAGAATTTGAAAGATAATGTCCTTACACGTGGAAGTATCCATGTGGGTTTCTTTTTAGGCTTACCCTCCATGACTGAGCATGCTTCTATACACCTATAAAAGATTAAATGGAAATACTTCATATTAAGACATGTGGAACTTAAAATGAAATGAATGAAATATTATACAAGGGTGTT